AAGGTCAAGGTCACAATGGATTGAATCTGGAGAAAAGCCTACTAGTTATTTTTTAAACTTAGAAAAAACACATTGTTCAGATAAAATTATTCCTTTTCTAGAACTTGATGATGGATCCTTTATATATGATCAAAAAGATATTCTTACAAAGACATGTAGTTATTATGAAAATTTATATAAAAATGTTGATATAACTGAAGAATCTAAGATTGATATGGAATTAGAAAGTTGTAATGTTACCAAGTTGTCTCAAAATGAAGCATTGAATCTTGAAGGTCTACTTTCATATGATGAAGTTTCTTTTACATTAAAAAACATGAAAAATGATAAAAGCCCAGGTTGTGACGGATTTACAGCAAATTTTTTTAAAATATTTTGGAATAGAATTGGACATTTTGTTGTAAAAGCTATAAACTTTGCATATACTGTTAATTCTTTTTCTAGAAATCAAAAGCTAGGAACAATAACATGCATTCCAAAAGAAAAAAAACCAAAACAATTTTTAAAAAATTGGAGACCAATAAACTTTATTAAATGTAGTTTATAAATTAGCTTCAGGTTCCATAGCAAATAGACTTAAACTTGTTTTAGATATTCTAGTTTCAAAGGATCAGACAGGATTTGTTAAAAATAGATATATTGGTGAGAACACTCGATTATTGTATGATATTATGAAATATACTGAGGATAATGATATACCAGGTTTAGTAATGATGATAGATTTTGAAAAAGCATTTGATACGTTATCATTTACATTTATAGAGAAATGTCTAGAACTTTTTCAATTTGGTCCTATGTTTAAAAAATGGATATCTTTATTTTTATTTAATACTGAAACTTGTGTTATTTTAAATGGATATTTATCAAAGTTTTTCAAAGTTAAACGAGGTTGTAGACAAGGCGATCCTATTTCACCTTATATCTTCATTTTATGTGCAGAGATTTTAGCAATAAAAATAAGACAATGTAAAGATGTTAAAGGTATAAATATAGATGGGGAAGAATATAAAATTACACAAATTTGCTGATGATACTTCACTTTTGCTAGATGGATCAGAAAATTCCCTTAATACTGTTTTAAAGTTTATTAAACACGTTTTCAGAAATTTCAGGATTGAAAGTAAATTTTGATAAAACTAAAGTTATTTGGATAGGCTCTCTTAAATACAGTACAAGATCTATTAAGACAAAATGGAAACTGACATGGGGTGATACACAGTTTAAATTGTTAGGTTTGATATTTGATGTTGATTTAGAAAAAATGATAGAGTTAAATTTTAATGAAAAACTTCAAAAAGTTAAAAATAGTATAGGATACTGGGAAAAAAAGAATGTTAACACCTATAGGAAAAATTACTGTTGTTAAGTCATTACTCCTTCCTTTATTCACTCATTGCTTTACAAGTTTACCAACACCTAATTCAGCATTTTTGAAAACACTTAATGACTTATTTTATAAATTTATATGGGAAGGTAAAGCAAAGATAAAGCAATCAGTAGTTATTAAAACATATCAGGACGGTGGTCTAAATATGATTGATATTGATAGTTATATACATTCTGTAAAGATAAAATGGTTTAAAAGATATGTTAGTAATAGTAACAGTAAATGTTATAAGCTAGTGATGGCTTTATTCAATATTGATAAAGTGTTTAGCACAGGTAAATTGTTTTGTAAATTGACAATTGATAAAATTAAAAATGCTTTTTGGATAGATGTTTTAAAAGCTTATATGATTTTTACAGATAAACTTTGTATAGACAGTTTAGAACAAGTGTTACAAATGCCATTGTTTTACAATCATAACTTGTTAGCAGGAAATAGATACTTTTATATCAAAATTTTTTATGAAAAAGGAATCAGATTTGTTAATGATATTATTAATCCCCAAGGCGATTTTGTAGATTTAACTTACTTAGAGCAGGTGACACAAAAACAAGTAAATTTTTTACAATATCATAGTTTGAAAAAAGCAATATTATTATATACACAAAAGCTTAACATTTCTATTTGTAAAGATTTTATTAATGTTCAATACCCTATTATGAGTTGTTATATAAAACCTATTTTAATTACACAAAATATCAAAAAGAAAATATGTTTATGATATTCTAGTTAAAAATCAAGATGTACCAACATGTCAAGAAAAATGGAACTCATTTTTTTACAAATTTTGATATAAATTGGAATTTAATATATAGTTATGTATTTAAATGTACCAAAGATTCCTATATTCAGTGGTTTCAGACAAGAATAATTCATAGAACTTTAGCAACAAACTCACTTTTATTCAAAATGAAAATTGTCAATAGTAAAATGTGTACTTTTTGCAATTGCCAAGAGGAAACTCTGTTGCATTTATTTTGGGAATGTCCAAAAATTCAATTGTTATTTCAATATCTGAAAGACAAGATAGATAATTTGGATGATAATTTTAATTGTAAATCATTTATTTTAGGTTCTGAAGTTAATGATTTTTAAATATGATATTTTGTTTTTAGAATTGAAAAGATATATTTATTTGTCAAAGAGAAAAATCGTGTTACCTACAATACCTGGTTTTAGAAATAGTCTTAAATTGGCATGGAATATTTACAAAAATACAAATTTGACCAAACATGTAAATGAAGGATGGCAAATTGTAAGAACTTTAATAAACAAATAGGCTACACTAAATCAATTTACCCCAAACCAATATTCTTTGTTTGTTTTGAAGCTGTTGCATAATACATTATCATACATAATTGTTATACATATTATATGAAAATTGATTGAAATGTTTGAATATAATGTATATTATAATTATATAAAAAATATTATTATAGATGATGATTTAAATATTATGTATATATCATGTAAGGTATCAGAGGGATGACCCCGACCCTCTCATACCTATTACGGGGTAAATAAACGGGGTTACCCAGTTGGGGCCTCAAAAAAAAAAAAAAAAAAAAAAAAACTGAGATGCTTGTTTCTCCACCTGTTTCAATAGCTCGAAGCTGTCGTTGAATGACTTGCTTTCTATAGTGAGCTTTGAGATTTTTTATGACTCCCTGATCCATAGGTTGGGTCACGGATGTTGTGTTTGGTGGCAGAAATACGAGTTTGACAGATCTTAATCCCGTGATGTCTGGATGTGCAGGGCAGTTGTCGACAATCAACAGAACCCTTCGCGACTGTGCCGAAATACGGCGGTCAAACTTTTTCACCCAGTTAGTGAAAATTTCTGATGTGACCCATGCTTTTTTGTTTGCATCATATTCAATTGGCATTGTTTTAAGATTTTTGAAACAGCGAGGATTTTTTGATTTTCCTATCACAAAAAGCGGTACTTTCTCAGACCCTGTCATGTTTGCGCAAACCATAACTGTTAATCGATCCTTGCTCATTTTACCACCGTGGCACTGAACATCTTTAAATTCTAAGGTCTTGTCAGGCAACATTCTAAAGAACAAGCCAGTTTCATCGGCATTGTAAATGTCTTGTGGCTCATATTCAGTCAGATAGGTTTGAAGTTTAGATTTCCACTCGGTCATTGCTGTGGAATTAGAGTCGACAGATTTTGCTTCACCACAAACTTTTTTGAAAGGACAGTTCATGTCTTTCTTTAAATCTGTCAAGCCAGCCTGTTGAGCACTCGAAATCAGAAACATTGAGCTGGTCTGCAAATTGCTTTGCTTTTTGTTTGACAATTTCACCAGATAGCGGTATGTTTTTTTGATCTTGCATTAGAAAACCATTGCAAGAGGGCACTTTCTAACTCTGGAAATTTTTGCCTTTTTGTCACGTTTGCGTTGTGGGCCAATGTCTGCCTCTGAAAACTTCTTTTTAATTTCATCTCTTTTTTTCAACCAAGTTGAAAGTGTATTAGGTGGAATACCAAATTTACTTGCGACATCTTTTTTCTTTATTCCCTTTTCTACTTCTAGTATTGCCTGGTATTTAATTTCGTAAGTCTGCACATTCAGTTTACGCTTTATTCCTCGCTCTGATCTGAACGATCTAGCTATCCCCCCGGAATAACCGGGTCCTTCACTAGATGCTTCGGTCACATTTGTGCGGCTCGCTATCCTCCCGGGTTGGGTACCGGGTCCTTCGCTTACCAACACGTTATGATCAGTAGAAATATCCATAATGGAACTAATTTGTCAACATTCATAGAGGTTTATATTCGAATCATATGACATTGAGAGTGATTACGATTAAAGACATAATAAAGGATATTTTCACACATAGTTACGCATGCAAAAGCTGTTAAAACAAGCGGCTGTGTGTTATTAACACCTGTCAGATAAGATGATCGGCAATCATCTACGCGGGCGGAAAAGGTGTGAAAAATATCTGGAGATTAAAGGTGTAAAAATTATTGAAGGACTTCGACTTATTTGTGGTAAATTGCACTCGATTTATTCTACACGGACCACGGAAAAAACTCGACACATCGAAAAATTCGACACATAAAAGTTCGACTCATTTGTAGGTTTTTATAAGGAATATATAGGGGAAAAAATCGGGACTTTCATTTTTATTCGACACATCGAGAAAATCGAGTAATCGAAGTTCGACTCACCGAAGTTCTACTGTAATTGTACACATTGCAAGTTTCAAGCGTACACTATGTAAGTTACAAATGTATACTATGCAATAATGCAAGTTACAAGTGTACATTATGTACAATGTAAGTTCCAAGTGTACACATGGTAAGTTACAAGTGTCATTATGCAAGTTAAAGGTGTACACTAAATGAAGTAGGTATTGGTAAGTATTGTAGATATGCAACAGTAGTGATGTCACTGTTGACAAATACATGTCAGAATCTGAGCATTTGATTTAAATTTATAGATGGTTGAATAAAATAATCTTTTGCTTTAATCAGGTATTGGTTATAGCTATATAGCTAGAGGATAACTTTGTACTTTACATATTTACTTTTTAAGAGATATTTAGTGTAATGTTTTATTTTATATATGCCTTTTACCCACGATATTTTGTGTTTTAGCTGAGGGCTACCAATGAAAGAGAGGCAAAGAAGATTGAAGATCTTTTTGAAATTAAAAAACAGTAAGTTCTTGAAAATACATTTATTCAGGTATAAACAGTTATAACTAAGGACTGACTTTAAGCTTTACAGTAACTGCCAGTTTTTATGAGCCATACATTGAAAAATTGGGGCATAATGCTTTGATCTGTTTGTCTGTCTGTTTTGCTCACTGCACACAAATTTTTCTTTGGTGATGACATCTTCATTCGATATGTTTAATCTATTTTACATAACATAGACAGGAACTTGATTTAGATACATTGAAATACATGCAACTTAAACATCAGGGTGCCGTTTTATCAACAAAGACGGTCGTAACTGCGATCTTATCTTACGACCGATACTTACGACCGAGCTTACGATTTCCTCATGACCGTTTTATGAACACGGTCGTACGCCCTCAGTCGCAGCTAAGACCATTTTCGGTCGTACGACCGTATAAACAGTAACCATACAGTCGAAAGTATGTTTCCGGGTCACGTGATTTCCCGCGCACCTGTCAATGTAAACACGACTGCATAAAGATGATAAACCACAGGACCCCGAAATTCTATCCAAAACAAAGAAATAACGATTTAAAAAAAATCCCGTATATATACTATACAAAAAACCTACAGTATGCATAAACTGAATACCGTGTATGCCTCGTTGAAGTAGCTTTAATAACGGCAAAGCATGGGGGAGGATCAAAAAGCTAGGACATTTAAATACGTTTAAGGGCTTGAGGGATGTTGCACGTATTTATTATCCCTCATGTACATGCTCAATCAAACCGAGTCTGCAATTTTTATGTAATTTTGTTGTGATTAATCAATCAATCAATCAAAAATTAATGCTCCCGAGGGGTTACTTTGTTTTCCAAATTAACTAAATAAAGTACAAAAAAAAAAACGATAAGTCTTTTTGTGTTAGAATGCGGTTTCTTTTCTTGTAGAAGATTTAAAAATAAAATACATGGGATACATTGTATATTGATCTTTATTAAATAAAAAAACAAACAGTAAATCATTCACGGATTTATATAAATCCGTGAGACAAATAGATACTTATTTGCGGATCAAAATATAGAGATGCATCAAAAGGAGGACGGACATAAATCCGTCTACAAAACATGTTATAGACGATGTCAAATTTTTTAAATCCCTTCTGCATGTTAGGCACATTATTTCTAATAAAAGCGGTAGCGTCATTCTGGTCATCCAAGGATACAATTAAATATCACCAATGACTATGTAAATATATCCCTTACATCCCTGTATTTATAAGACTATTCTGAATAAAAGTCAAAGAACCTGATAGTATACATCATTATGTTCTGTCAACTGTAAAGTATCTTGTCCTAACTGTGTGAGTAAAGCATAGCTAGTTTTTTAAGATTTTTTTACTTCGAACAAAGCGCTGTTGATGACACCCATCAAGGTTCAACCTGTATGTGCGTTCATGACATTGAATAAGTTACAGCTTGAATACAAAATATATGTACAGGGCTCTGAGGTAAAATGCTAAACAACATCTGCAAACATTAGAAGTGTCTTTCTTAGCAGTTTCAGCTAAGATTAAGGAAAAGTTGAAAACAATATGGCTGGCTTATTTGTAAAAGTATTTACAGAACAGTAAGTGTTAGAATGTTACAAAGTCTTTTATTATTATTCCAGTATGACAATGAATACATATTGCAAAGAAAATTATGACATGGAAATGACATGTTACAGTGTTTCTAATTCATATTAATTTTTAATAATACCTGTTTAGAATTGATGTACATATCTGCTAGAAAACAATCTTGAAACTAGATAACAATATAAAATACTATTCAGACAAGAGCAGTTAAGACACTATTCAGACAAGAGCAGTTAAAACAAATAATAAGTTTAGCAATTAAATATAAAATGTCACTTCCAGGGAATTCTGTAGAATGTTTCTCAGCTTTACATTAAGATTGTTTATTTTCATTATTGTCCCTTTTGTGTTATTTTCTTTGTGTTTTTAATATTCATCCCAACAATTTTTAATGCATTTAAGTAACAATAAATCAATAAATATCAATATAAACACATATGTTACATTCATTTATCTCATGTCGTTTTACTTTCAGATGAATTGTAACCCATAAATCTTTGTTTTTGTAAAGTCACTTTAATCAAATTGAATACAGAGAAGAACATCATTTGATTTTTAAGTTTTGAACATGAATCAAACATTTCATAATGTTATTCAAGAGAATGATTCAGTAAAGTTATCACTTCAAGAAATATAAATATTTGATTTTGACATACATTAATAGCTATAGTTTTGAACTTAAGACAAGTGAATATACAGTCAGTACAAACATGTACCATCCAAGGTATACACTCAGAAACAACTTAAAGACTTTAACCTATGTATATGTTTTTATTAATCATTAATAAAAAAAGCATTCATATAAAGCTTCTTACATGCATTCAGGGTAATAATTGTAGATCACTGACTATCCCTTTGTGACCATACTCAAGTGTTATTTTTATTCATGTGCATGTAGAAACAAAGTTATTATGGAATGTGTTAAATTATACATAATGTACTTTATTCAATATAAATTGATGAAATGTTTAATAGTCTATATAACTTTCTTCATAACTATCTTTAGGACTTTTATGTCCTTTGTTCGCCATATAACAAGGTCACAACACTTGGCCCCTTTAAGGGAGAGCTGTCCCTGGATATTGATTCCAACCATAGGATTGTTTAGCTGTAAACCTTCCATCATTCAGCAGTAGTCTGAAACATTACAGAGAATAATCTGACTTAAAATCAAATAATAAACATTGTAATTTGATACAATAATTTTTTTTACAAACTATCTCATATGAAACGTCAAGAACAGATAAATTACAAAAATGTAATATGAAAATGTATAATTCAAATGAAATCCTTATAACTAAATGTTAATAGTTTTTATTCAATAATTTGGTATGTCTTTGTAATAATATTTGTCAGTCACAGCCACTGAGCTTTTAAATAGGTTCCTACTGTTGAATTTGTTTGATATTCCTCTATAACTGTCAGTTCCCTGACAGTGTAAGGTCATTTTACTTTTATATTACTGTTTCTAAAATAAGTTTGTCACTACTGACCCTGGTGATATACAGCCTCATCATTGTTAATGTCCTCTTTTACAAACACATTGATCAGCAGATGCACCAAATACTAACTATTCATGCTGCCTTAAATATCTGTAAGGAAAATCAGATAAAAATTCAGCTACAATTTCATAGACTCTTTATAGCATGTGCATGTATAAAAGAAAATCAAGTGATACCTGAAAAGAAGCCTACTAGGATAATATCTACATAAACTTTAACAAACCTATGAGTAAATATGATAATGATTTCCACAAATCTAACATTACTACAATATATTACAATAGTATTTGTTTAAATGTGGAAACAAGACACTTAACATCTGAAGACACTTCACATCCCAAAATCATTCAGACACTTCACCCATCATCCCTGATTATTTCTAGAATGAATATTTCATCAACAAATAAACCTTTTGTTTGTTAATTTTCTTTTATAATAGTATTTTTTTTATAAAATGTTTAACTCAAGGCAATTTTCAATATTTTTAAAACTGACAAGTTAACTTGCAACATGGAACTTTGATATATTACATCATTTTCTGAAACATTACATGAAAGACAATTTTTAAATATCAATGTGACATAAAAATAAAGAAAAATCTGCTATATAATTAGCATATAATATAGAAAACACACTGTAATACCATATTGTTTACATTATAAAAAAAAAATATATTGTGCAAAATTATGTATGTTTACTGCTGGAAAACTAATGTGTTATACTCATTATATTAGAAAATCCTCATATTGTATGTACAAATGTGCTTGAGTGAATAAAGATATCTGTCTGTCTGTCTGTCAATTGTTGATAAAAATATTATGTGTGATTTCCAACATAACTATCAATGTACTGTCAAACTGGGACATACATGTTTTTCCCAGTATCAATGTTAGAACAAATGAGGGGTTAAAGAGATATCTCATATCTTAGATAGTAGGTCACCCACTTTAAATGACTAATACAAAATAAGTTATTTTAAATAGTCAAACTTATTTTGAAGTTTTAATGTGATAATTATATTTTAGAAAAAAATATAAAGTACTTAACTTTTTATCAATAATACCATATAAATATATTAGGGGAAACGTAATAGGCCTATCTCTACAATATTTTGATTTGGTCCATACTTATTATTTATATAACAAGAAATGTGTTAAAACATTGAATAATTTAATCACCATAATTGATTGCATTTCACATGTTCCATCCTAATTTGTGTAAAGCACATAACAACACATAACCAAAAAGGGAGGTGTAGTGCTTTAATCAGATTTCATAGAAAGAGGGGTGAAGTGAACATATTTCAAACTCACCTGTCTGCACAAGTTACTTGTCCTTTGTTTTACAATCCTCTTTTCATGTGATACACCAAATTGGATCTCTAAAGATGCTCATTTCGCATTTATGTACATGCTTTACCAAACAACAGTGCTCCAGTTTCATTTGCATTCCTATTACACTACTGTACTGTAGGTTGTTGCCTTGTCACAGTATTAACGCTTGTTTTTCACCTAGATACTGTAGCAACTTCATTGATAGGTCTACAAAGGAACATGCTTAACTAATTATAACAATCAAATTGGTTTTATAGCTTGACAATTAAGACAATTATTATTGACAATTGTTATAGCTATAGCTAAATGTTCTGTCCGAAATCTGCACTGTCCGAAATTTCTGTACCAAAATATTTCGAAAAGAAAAGTAGGAAACGGTATAGAAAATTGTAAGAATCATTTGCTTATCTGGCTACAGATAAGATCTTGATCTTGATCTTGATCTGTATACGGTGTGACGTCAAAGACATTATTTACACCGGCCTTTGCAATTATCAAGCGGCTTAGGGCAACATGATACCCTCTCTAATGATTTTTGCGAATGAACTGGATGTGTCCTTAAGGGTGTTTACATTATTTATCAAAAGGTCTGGAGGTAGAGAGTTCCATTCTTTCACAGTATTTGGGAAAAAACTGTACTTTAACACATCAGTACGCGACTGGATACGTAAGAAATGTTGACTATGTTGGTTCTTGTAGATCTTTTACTACGTTGTAAAATATTTATATTTATATGTGCTTGTTTGTTTACACCTTTATTCATTAATATGAGTCTATTTTTGTTGTCTTCGTTCCTTAAGGGATGGTAGATTTAGTTCTTTCAAAAGGGTTGTCATAGTACCAGGTTCGTAATTATAATTTGATGTTATAAATCTAACTGCTCTCTTTTGAACACTTTCTAGTTTTTCTTGTAGATAAAGTTGATGTGGGTCCCAAGCTGCACTACAATTTTCTAAGATTGGTCTAATAAGTCCTTTATATGCTTGTAATTTAACTTCTAGCGGGCAAGTTGATAGATTTCTTTTCAAAAGTCCCAGAGTTTTGTATGCTTTGTTACAGATTTCTTCCACATGTTTTCCCCAATGCAAGTTACTTCTTATATGGACACCGAGATATTTAATAGATTGTAGAAATTCCAGTTTTGTCCCTTGTAATGTATATTCATAGGAAATTATTTTCCTTTTTCTAGTTAGAGTCATCATGTTGCATTTTACCGGTTGAAACCTCATACCCCAATTTGTTGCCCACTGTCCTAGCTTGTTTATGTCCTCTTGTAAAATTTCGCAGTCTTTTCACTTAATATTTCTCTGTAGCAGACGCAATCGTCAGCGAATAACTTTATGTTTGACGAAATATTGTCCGAAATGTCATTTATATGAACCAGGAATAATATCGGCCCTAACACCGTACCTTGTGGAACACCGGATTTTACTGATGAAGTGCTAGATTTGCTACCGTTCACTACAACACACTGTGTTCTCTGTGTAAGGAAAGAGTCTATCCATAACAAGATGTTTTGAGATATTCCATATTTTTTCAGTTTACTTTTCAATAGTTCATGAGGTACTGTGTCGAACGCTTTTTTCGAAATCAAGAGAATAAATATATCTGGTTTGTTTGTTGTTATCTATAGATGTAGCCCAGTCATGGATGACATTTACAAGCTGTGTTTCGCAACTATGATGTTTTCTAAATGCGTGTTGACGATTATTCAAAATACTGTTTTTGGTTCTAAATGTTGCATGAGGTTGGAACAAATTATATGTTCTAACAATTTACAAGTAATGCAATGTCAGCGACACAGGTCTGTAGTTACTTGGAATGGATCTATCGTTCTTTTTGAACAATGGGCAAATGTTCGCATTCTTCCAGTCTTCTGGAATTAATCCGCAATCAATTGACTGTTGAAAGAAGTGGGCTAGGATTTCTGATATTTTCATATGAAAGTTCTTTGAGTATTCTAGGGTGGATGTTATCAGGACCCGTTGCTTTACTCGGATTGACATTTTTTTAGAATGTTTTCAACACCTTTTTTTAGTAACTATAATTTTCTTCATGGTTTCAGTAGAAGGTTTGGAGTACGAACAGAACTGTAAATTGTCTCTGTAAAAACACTAGTAAATTGGTGATTAAGTGTTTCGGCTTTATCTATGTCTGTTTCGGCGGATTTACCGTTTCCCGACTTTAGGGGTGGTATACCTTGCGAGTCTTTCTTTTTGACTACTTATATATTTCCAAAAGGGTTTTGAGTCCTGTTTGATGTCACCAATGAGATCGTTAACAAACATACTGTGTGCTGATTTCAATTCATTATTTATAGAACTTCTTAGAATCTTCCATCTTTGTTTAATCTTTGAGTTGCCAGTTTTTTTATACAAAGCATGTGTGCGGTTTCTTCTTTTAATCAGACGCTTAATATTATTATTTATCCAAGGTAGAGACTCTTTTCCACCTGACATTTTGCTAGGAATGTTCTTTTCAGATGTATTTATTATAAAATTTTTAAACATATTCCAGTTTTCTTCTACTGATCTTTTGTTTTGGTAACCATTAAAGTATTTGTATTTGGAAAAATTAACAGCATCTTCCTTCATTTGAGTATAGTCACCTTTTGAATATTTGAAAAGTTTACGTTTTGGCATAAGACAGGAGTTTTATTAAACACATATATATACGTCGGATGTACAAAAATGAAAGTAATACAACTTACAATAGCTTCTTCATGGGAATTATCAACAGATTAAACTAGAAGTGATTGTTGCGTCCCTTGGATGTTAAAATAGATTAGCACTGTACATAAACATGTACGCGAAAAACTTACGTTAGTTGAAAACTTCAATTGTTCAAATATTTGTGTTTGAAAGTTCCTATCGGGAATTATGCAAAAATGGCCGCCATTTTTAAGATCTTTAGCCTACTTACGACTGGCCTGAAGCAGCCTTAAAGTTACGACGTTAATTTACGACGTCTTAGCTACGACCTTGTTGATAAAACGCGACGTAGCCGTAAGATCGGTCGTACGACCAAATCTTAGCTACGACAAGGCGTACGACCGTTGATAAAACGACACCCAGATTTTCAAAACTCAAAACTAATATTAATTTTGTGAATGATAGGGGTTGGGCATCCATTTCTGTTTAAAAGATTACATCTTGTTTTACCTTTTATATTAGACAACAGGCCTTTTTTCCCTTTAGGAAATTATGCAAAAAAAATTGAGGCATTCCAATTAAAAGAAGAGGGTGGGTGGGGAGGTAATTAAAACTGTGTTAAATGATTTATAAGTGGAGATGTTTGTAGTAAGTTGTGAAAAAAGTTAGTATTGGTACTGACTACAGGATCACTAATTATCTGCCGGACAGTTTATTACAAAAATATTGATAAATTGGCCATAAGATCTGCCAAAACAAGAACCATAAATTGTTGTATATTTGTGTTATAGGAAAGAAGACCAGATTAAACAGATAGAGAATGAGCTGGATCAGGAGAAACGTATGGCTGATAATCTTGTTAATGATATGGTATGTATAATGATTTTTCATTAGTTAGATCTCTTTACCAGTGCTGTGGTGCTTTACTTGTTTTAATTTTTGCTTATTTATGCCCCTTCCAAGCCCCCACTTAAGACTTTTACTGTCTTTGAGTGGTGATGACATCAGCCTGATCTGTCAGCTGTTTGTAATAATTTGTTACATATGAAATGCATAAAATATGTTTGTTTTACAGATAAGTAATCAAATTAAAAAAAAAAATAATAATGAAAATAAAATCAAAATATGATAAGTTGTAATATGTAAATATTTCACATTTTAAATGCCAATGGCACAGCATGTTAGAATTCACAATCTCATTTTCATAAGTGAACCCCAGTCATTAAGGGGTTATGTTTTGCATATTTTGATGAAGGTAGATAGCTAGCTTAAATTTATTTACTTGTACACTTTTAATACAATTAGCATAAATGTTGAGGGATGCTGTTTTAAAGGAAAAATTGTCATGGTAATGTTTATTGTAAAAATATTCTTGTATAAAACAAGACATTTCACTGTACATGTATATTATGGAGTGTTTCTATACTGTTCAATAGGACCCAGACATGAGGCAGAAGTACTACCGTATTAAGGACATGAATGAGCATATGTTAAAACAACTAGAGGATGGACAACAACAGTTAGATGTTCTCAACTCTAGGATGGAAGGACTTCAAGAGGTATGAAATACTTACCTAATCACACACACCTGATCATGCTGATGTTCCAGATAAGCTTAAGTGATATTAAGGCTAGTGCTCAGACTAGTGTTCACTTATATCTAAGGATCAGGATCAAAATTTATATTTCAAAATTTCCTCATTATTTATTTCTCATGGATAAATATTCAATGGTTACTTAAAATGGACTTGAAATAGCATATTTAGCTCCTTTACAAGATATTCACCAGTTTGAAAGTAGATCAAGATATTAACCTTGATCCGATAATAGATCTTTATTTTGATCCATTTATTTTTGTAATTCGGAGTGGCTGTCCTAAATTCTATCCCAAAATAAGCTTGCTTTGAAAATCAGCAGAGAGGTTAAAATTGCTGGCTTTGAATCATTTGCTTGCATAGTTGTTTGTTCAAAATATTGCTATGGATTTTTTATTCTTCCTTGTGGGGTCTAACAAGCCTATGGAAAGTTGATGGCTGTATTTTGGTGTTTGCTTTTTACTGTAATTAAGGGATTACCATGCAATCTGACAAGGCTCCAAAGTGAACTTTATTTTAGCATTTGATAATATAATTTTGATATTTACATAATGTTTTCAGGAATTGTCTATGTCACAAGTGAAACAAGAAGCTGTAAGGTTGTATGAGCAGTTAAATGAATTGGAGATGAAGAGGGACAGTCTAATAGAAGAGGCGAAGTCAACAACAAGTCCTGCTGAAGAGAGGGAGAAACTACTGAAACAAGTGAAAGAGGACAACGTAGAGATAGCTAGTATGGAAAGACAGTAAGAAAATGTTTATGTTACCAGTTTGTTAAAGTATTTGAAGTATCTTTGGGACATGTTGAGGTATTGGACTCTCTGTCTGAACTTGTGAGTTCTGGTTGGCATTTTGTGTACAAGTTGATATCATGAGGTTCATTCTATAGGAACCATGATTCCTATTAAGTGATAAGAAAAACTATTTTTGTCTTGAAAAAGAAACAAAACAAAAAATATATGTATGTCTGGCAAGAATATCTATCCATCTGTCTTTGTAATGAAGTGTTGGTTTATAAAATTTACAGTTTATTCTGTCTATATTGTTGGCTATTTTATTTGTCTTGCTTTGAGTTTTTGAACAAAAGAGATTCCAAACAAATGTCCCAACAATTGTCAATTTTTATACAATTCAGTACTTTTTTTTGCTGAGTTCCATTTTATGGAATATTGTTTTTCAAAGTTGATGCTTATAAGGGGATTAAGAAACCTTGTCATTTGAAATGTAACTTGCTTAAAGGTGTATAAAATTTTGTATTTGTTTGCCAGTGTGTGATTTACATTTTATATATATGTTTCAGAACTAATGAATTCAGGGAGAAGATGGAGTCTGTACAAGAAGAGATTCACTCCCTTGATATGGACATTGAGGAAAATCAAGGTATCATATAATTATTGATAATTCCAGGTCTTGAAAACCTCACAAACAAAACTGTTACATTATCAACATTATTTTTCAATGTCAGAAGTTTTGCATCAATGCTAGAATAGAAATGTGTGCAAAGATAAGCAAAGTATGTTTTTTAAAAGCCAGTTTTACTTTGTAAGAATCAATTATCAGCAGTTGCCATTCATGATTAATCTCAAAGTCTTTAAAGACCTTTTGGAAAGATATTTATGCATTTCAAACATTTTAAGATGATGAGGTTTTATATTAAAATCTCAGTTTCTGTTTTTGTTCTTTGTATAATTTAGTGACTTCTTTGTATAATTTAGTGACAACAAAGGCTCTATATTATATGTTAACTAAAGACAATTTTAAAAGCGATAGACTGTGAAGAATATATATGTTGCTTCAATAATATCATATTTATTTATGTACAGGGGAGAGAAACCAGAAATATAAAGAGTTAAAGAAGAGAGAAGAAACCATGGATGGTAAATATTTAAAATACAAGTAGTACTATAAGAAATAAAAAATTAGTGTCAGTTTTAGAGATAAGAAACTTAGTATTTTGGCAATTTGTCAGTTTGTCACACATGGAGATTAGGATCCTTTATGAAAGGAAATTATCTAGCTAGCTTATGGAATGTAAGTGGTTCTACTTAGGTGCCTGCTGATGGTCTGCTACCAATGTACAGTGAAGAGCATTAGACCTTTTTAATTTGGGTTACTTCATGACTGAAGCTAGAAGTCATCTTAAGTGGTTTTAATAAATGCAAATTGGGACTAAGACAATAGTGTTGTGATTTATGGTTTTCTACAGCTTTTATTGTTAAAAAAAAACATGATTTTTTTTCGGAATTTAACATTACTTTTTATTATTTTTGCAGATTTTCTTCAAACTTTTGAAGAGTCAAAGTCGCAAGAATATGTAAGTACTTCAACATTTTTAGGAAGGATTCAGGGAAAGAGACTTATTTCTTTCATTTATATCAGTGAAAGGGTTTAAATACAAGTTTGAATACATGCATTTCATTTATCGGTACTCTGAATAAGTAACTTGATAAAGTTGCATGACATCACAGACCTAAGGAATGATAACTTTAATGCTGTAAATGGTCCCCACAGTTTGTTATATTTATCTTTATAACTTTCAGCAAAGAATCACTGAATTGGAGCAGAATGTAGTGAGCCTGTTAGAACACATCAGTAGGGTAGGTGAACATTTTCTTTACTTTTTGTTATTAAGTGTTTCAAAAAGGTTGATATCAAGTTAAAATTTTGCGTTGTGACATGTTTTTACATTGTGATAGTTGACCTTTTCCAAAATTCAAGGTCAAGTTTTTAGTTTACCTTTTCCAAAATTCAAGGTCAAGTTTTTTTGTTAGGTCATGGCACAGAATATTGCAATTGAGGCCTTTCTCCACAAGTATAGCAGTAAATTTTCCACATGATCTTAACTTTGATAATGTGAATTAAGCACAAAGAAAATGAAAAAAGAAAGAATTAGCTTTATATTATCAGCTGTGTTTAGAAAGTTATCAAAATACAAACTACACACATTTCTTTTTGTAGAATATGAGTAGGTTTCAAGCTCTGCCAAGCCAGAATGAGTTAGCTGAAATGAAGGAAGATTTAGCTTTTAAGGAAGGAGAAATGAAGAAATCAGAACATACATCTTTGGGATTAGCACAAGGTAGGATTTGATTTTTTGGTCATTACACATGTTAAATTCTTCAAGTGAGAAGATAGAGGTCACTAACAAGATGGACAATAATGAGATTTGTATACAGGCAAATGACTTGTCTTGTGTGGGCAAATGTTCTAGCTTGCAATGTCAAATGTCCACCCCCTTCAGGGACAAATGTCTGCCTGTATTATAATATCTCATATTGAAAAAAACTATCTTGCAGGAACAAATAAATGTCAACCTATTCTAAAACATTTAATGACAAGTGTTCACCATTGCACCATCACAGAAGGACAACAGGTCTTATATTGTAAGGGTCTGTCCATTTTGGGACAGTAGTAGACTTTGCAGTATCACAATGCTATGATAGCAGAAAATTTCCTACCTTACAGGTTATCATGGTATTTATTGTCTGCCTGTGTTTAAATTATGCAAGAGAAAAATGTCAGGCTATTGGAAAAATATAACGTATGATCTCTGCAGAGTATAACACTTTGGGAAACAGCAATTTTGATTGTTGCAAAGAGGGGTTAAAATTATTGTGTAAAGTCATTCTTTGAGAAGAATAGATACTGTTGTAATAAAGAGGTAATTGTTGTACAGAAGGTTGCTCTGCAGAGTTTATTTTACTGTACCTTAAAAATACAAGTATATACTTTATAACATACAGAGAATGAGAAATTACGTGAAGATCTCGAGAAAGTTGAGCAGCTTGAAGACAAGATAAATACAGAGCTGGTGATGCTACGTGAGAAAATATCCACCATGGAAACAGAACTTGTTACATTCCGTGACCTTGACTCACTGAAGAAAAAATCTGAGGAGAAGAAACAGGTAAATGCATGATACAGATAGAAGTTATTATAAATCAGACTTTATGCCCCCGCTGCTTAGAGGAGGCATGAAGATTTACTCTTGTCCATCTCTCCCGCCTGTTGTCCATCCACATAGACTGAAAAAAAAACAGATAAATGAAGGGGCATACATGTTCTATGGACACATTTCTAATATTTTTTTACTTTTCACACCTCATTTAGCTCATCAGAGCTATAAGTATTGATGTACAGATGAATCATTTAGAATGAAAAACAATAGAAGCATGTAGATCATATGTAGATCTTGTTTTTTTCTAGAGATTATAGAATTCTTTAACATAATTTGTCATAAATAAAGTTAGTTTTAGTTGGATTCTGATGGGGTTGATGTGTTTGGAATAGAAGATTATATATGGTCATTTACTTGAATTGTACTGTTGTGTGACAGATATGTTAAGAATTTTATTTTATTTTACAGAAATTGATGTCTGACAGAATAATTTTACAAAAGAGGAAAGAGACGTTTAAACGTCAGCTTCAACAGCTCAGCTCTAAATATGACGGTCTTAAAGCCACGCTGAATGACAATGAGACTTATTCACAGGTATACTTGTGTTATATAGTATTAAATACTAAGAGTTTTGATACATTATATGGTCAGGTTATATGGTTAAGACCCTCCAGACAAGGTTTGAATAGCAGTTATTTAAGTTGTTAAAAGTTAATATGACAAGTTTGTTACTGCACAATTGGCCTTTTTGATTACAATCAAAAAAGAAAATCATGGAATTACAATATTATACAGTTTTGTTTTTTCTTTTAATCAACACAGTTTTTCAGAGGAACACTATAAGAATTGCAAATATTAAATATATAATATTATATTGTAGTTCACCAAATAAAAAACAAATACATGTTTATTAGACATAGATGAACAGTAGGCTTTTATGAATTCCACAATTTAGCATATGGTTCTTATGCTTGTACTTTGCCAATCTGAACTTAAAATTTAGTATTACAAAAAAATGTTTTACTAAACTTAAGCTTTTCTTCCCACAACTGTACTGTAACTTACTAAATGTTGTTTTCTCTAATTAACTGATAAAAAAAAAAATTTGATGATAGAATATTACTTGTCTGTGATTTCAGCTTGGTAACTTGGAGCGTAAATGGCAACACCATGAACAGAACAACTTTGTAATGAGAGATTGTATCCTTTTAGTTATATATATATACAATGATGTATATTTGTATGGTAACGGGGGTGGTGGCAAATTTTACAAGTTTTCTCATGTTTATTTTAATTTTATTTCATAACTAAGATTGAGAAATGAACTTTAACCCTTCTGACTGCTAGAGAGTTTGAAAAATTGCCTCAGCTACCAGAATTATACAAGATAAAAAGCTTTCTGATGTTTTTCTCAGAACAATTTGATTTTAAATGGAGTAAACGATTTTTAAAGGAAATAGGAGGAGATAATTAGAAATAATAATTAAACATGTTATAATTGTAGAAAGAACTCTGTCTGGGGAGTTAATTATGGGTAAGTTGGTTAATAAAGAAATTGGTTGTTTGTGAATATTTAGAATAAAATGTTGTTGACCTTGACAATGACATAGTTATTAATGCGAAGACGATGGAGTGTAACTACCGGCCTATAAGTCGACGTGTGTTTAATGGAGTCAATGAGTACAATTCACTTCTACAGACACAGATGGCAAATAATCCGAGCATGTGATCTTCTGTATATTAAAATTGACATTCAAAACTTCTACAGATCTGACATTCAGATCTAGACTCCAACATTGACATTCAAAATATATGTACTTTATTTGTGTAAAAAAGTGAAAAGATGCATAATTTATCATTATCTGTGTAAGGAAGTGTCAGCTAACAATACAAATGTTATAATACAATACAAATTGTTGGATAATAATACAAATGTATAAATATCTATGAATAATTGTTGTAAAATTTTGTTAGAACTATGATGCAGTTTGTAATGTTTTATCACAGTGATAGTTTATTCTATTGTATTAATTCTAATGGGACCAATTAATTTTTATATGTATACATGTATGTAAAGTGGTAAAAAAACATAAGATCTGATGAAAATGGCAGGCAGACTAAAATAACATTTACGATATTTCTTATAAATTATTAAAATACATTTTTGCCATTCTTTTCAATTCTGATTTTGCTAAATATTTGGCTTTAATTGTGTAAAATTATGGTACATTGTATATTACAGTGTACAAAATGTTTAAATTTGATTTTGTACAAATCGCGTAATTTCTATTATCTCCCTTTTCTTTTTGTTCTTTAACCAACATTAAATAATTCGTACAGCAAGAAGTAGGGATAAATGTTTGTATTTGTATCTTTGTACTTTCATCTTAAAGAGACTTAAAGAGAGGTAATTTGATTTTTATATAGGCAAAAATGAGTTTTAACCACATTTTTTGGTTCACAATGTGCTTAAGACTATTTTGTTAAGTAAGTTGTTATATTGTACAGTCGATTTTGTTGATAAGCTGACATGATGTCAACTTTATATCTGATTACCGTCCATTTATTTATTTATATTAGATCTGTGATTTATGATGTTTATTTTATTGCTACAGTAGACAATTTTCTCTTTATCTTCTGAAATAAACATTATTAAAGATATACGGTATGATCTGTTTTTCTTTGTTAGATAATGCACTTAAATGAATAAACACACCCTATGCCTGTGGATTTAAATCCCCTTCCCCATGATCTGTACATTCGACCCAGGTGGGCTCACAGGTCAGCGGTCCCAAGGATGTTTGAATATGTAAAAAAAACAACTTTAGACAGTACACCAGCATTTTAATTTAGTCCTTATATGATTTCTTCTTTGCATTTCATGTGTGCAGAAATTATCGCAGTTCTATTGCTATATATCTATGTGTAGACCGAAGTAACTTTTCTTGCAATTTATCTGTAGATCGTAATACATATAATTAACTCGCGCTTCATGGCGGGTTAAAGTCTTCTCGGCTAAATCAATTCTTGAAAATTAGTTTAAAGTAATATGTATTACATCTACTATAGCTATATATCGTCTGCCATGGTCATAAAGGAAGACTTGATTAAAATGCAGGTTCTCTAATTATGAGAACATGTTCTATGAGTGATTCCAGAGACAAAGATTTACTGATTAATTACAAAGATAACTCGAGTAAGCTTCAACAGTCTCATTCGAATCTAATTATGTTCCCATAATGCCATTCGATTTCACTAATACTATATCGATTTAGTAAATACGTCACCCTGGGAAATGGTGAAAAATTAATTGGCATTTTGCACATACATTTAAAAAGAAACTTTCACCTAAGGTAGGAAAGGATATTTTAGATTTTTAGATAAATAAAGAAAAAAAACACACAATGCAGGAAATTTTCAACTTGGTAAGTACAAACTAATAGATTTCCTTTTTATATGCCCGAAAGGGCATATTATGTTATACCCCCTGGCGTCCGTCTGTCTGTCCGTCCGTCCGTCCGTCTGTCCGTCCGTCCGTACGTCCGTCCGTCCGTTAGCAATTTGGTTTCCGGAGCATAACTTAAGTTCCATTTGGCCCACAATGTTAAAACTTCATAGGATGATTGTCCATATTGGGTAGAAGACCCCTATTGATTTTGGGGTCAAAAGGTCAAAGGTCAAGGTCACTATTACCTTAAAACTGAAAACGGTTTCCGGAGCATAACTTAAGTTCCATTCGACCCACAATGTTCAAACTTCATAGGATGATTGTCCATATTGGGAAGAAGACCCCTATTGATTTTGGGGTCACAAGGTCAAAGGTCAAGGTCACTATGACCTTGATACTGAAAACAGTTTCCGGAGCATAACTTAAGTTCCAATTGGCCCACAATGTTCAAACTTCATAGGATGATTGTCCATATTGGGTAGAAGACCCCTATTGATTTTGGGGTCAAAAGGTCAAAGGTCAAGGTCACTATTACCTTGAAACTGAAAACGGTTTCCGGAGCATAACTTAAGTTCCATTCGACCCATAATGTTCAAACTTCATAGGATGATTGTCCATATTGGGAAGAAGACCCCTATAGATTTTGGGGTCACAAGGTCAAAGGTCAAGGTCACTATGACCTTGATACTGAAAACAGTTTCCGGAGCATAATATAAGTTCCAATTGGCCCACAATGTTCAAACTTCATAGGATGATTGTCCATATTGGGTAGAAGACCCCTATTGATTTTGGGGTCAAAAGGTCAAAGGTCAAGGTCACTATTACCTTATAACTGAAAACAGTTTCCAGAGCATAACTTAAGTTCCATTCGACCCACAATGTTCAAACTTCATAGGATGATTGTCCATATTGGGAAGAAGACCCCTATTGATTTTGGGGTCACAAGGTCAAAGGTCAAGGTCACTATGACCTTGATACTGAAAACAGTTTCCGGAGCATAACTTAAGTTCCAATTGGCCCACAATGTTCAAACTACATAGGATGATTGTCCATATTGGGTAGAAGACCCCTATTGATTTTTGGGTCAAAAGGTCAAAGGTCAAGGTCACTATTACCTTATAACTGAAAACAGTTTCCAGAGCATAACTTAAGCTCCATTCGACCCACAATGTTCAAACTTCATCGGATGATTGTCCATATTGGGTAGAAGACCCCTATTGATTTTGGGGTCACAAGGTCAAAGGTGAAGGTCACTATTACATTGATACTGAAAAATATGTTTCCATGCATAACTTAAGTTCATTTTGACCCACAATGTTCAAACTTCATAGGATGATTGTCCATATTGGGTAGAAGACCCCTGTTGATTTTGGGGTCAAAAGGTCAAAGGTGAAGGTCACTATTACCTTGATACTGAAAACAGTTGCCGGAGCATATGTTAAGTTCCATTTGGCCCACAATGTTCAAACTTCATAGGATGATTGTCCATATTGGGTAGAAGACCCCTATTGATTTTGGGGTCAAAAGGTCAACGGTTAAGGTCATCCTTACTAAAAAAAAAAAAATACTTTCGGGCATATAATGCTCCGCCTAGCGGTGCTCTTGTTTAACAGAATGATTTTTATACGAGTGTTAACATTTTTAGTGTAAATACGGAGCTGGGCCTCGTGGTTCCACAAAATAAATATAATGTAAGCCTAAGATCACGGGCCCTTTATTTATTGACAATTAGCACTTCTAGTTTCATCTTGTCTTGCATCTTTTTTAAATTTAAAACATTTATTTCTTTTTTATAATTGAATAGAGAGCATCATATTTCAATAGAAAAGTGAATTTAGTAGCCGCATGTTGTAATAACATTTGAATATAAATGATAAATCGTTATCGCACAATAATTTAGTGAAGAAATGACATTATTGTTAAACATATAACTTAAAGAGATCAGCCAAATCACGAGATGCACGGGTTCAGCGGAACTAGAGCAAGTGACACGACTTTTATAAATTGTAGGTGTTTGAAAGGATAAAAATATTTCATTATATTTATTTCATTTTGCTACTATACTAATTCAGCATTGCTTATGTAGGATGAACTGGAAGCATTTCTTGAAGAATGCGGAGATAAAATTGTCGTCATAGATTTCTGGGCAGGTTGGTGCGGGCCATGTAAACTTATTGGTCCTGTTTTTGAGGTAAGGACTTACAAACGCAATGAATAACATACATGTATCATTAAAATGCAAATTCATCGGCACTGTAACGGATACAATCCGTAACGAAGACCTGTACTCTCTTACAAATTTGCCTTATGACAATAAAGTATGTTCAAATGTGTTTCATGACGAATTCTCAAAGTAACAAATGTAATTCATGCGAATGAACTATGTCGCAAATGCGCTTTATGCCGAGTGTATATCAAATGTATTTCATGCTAAATATACTATGTAATAAACTAGCTTCGTGCCGAATGTACTTTGTAACAACTGTGTTTCGTGCGTGCTGTGTATCATATGTGCACTTTGTAACAAACGTGCTTCGTGCTTTGTGCCGAAATATACTATTTAACAAATGGTTTCATGCTGAATGTACTTTGTAACAAATGTACTTTATGACGAGTTTACTATGTAACAAATATACATCATTACAAACATATCATGTAACAATTTTACGGGCTTCGTTTCGAATGTACTATGTAACAAGTGTGTTTCGTAACGAATGTAATTTGTTATAAAGGTACTTTGTGACATGTAGCTAATGATAAATGGATTACAACAAAGCCTCCAAGATAAAAACAAAATACACAGCAAACTAGTAACTGAAGAGATACCTTCCTTAAAGTGTATAAAGCGTTATATCTGCTACAAAAAAGCTTCCAAATTGCTTGTATTGAAAAAACGAGTATATGGTTGTAAATTGCCGTAAAAGCAATTAATTGCGCATAATTATATTAATATAATTATTGATAAAACCATACTAAAAATAGCAAGATAATATTGTGTTACCGAACATTTTATTTTGTTTACGAACAGTATTCCAGTGTATTATAAGCAGAGACATTCTATGGTACAACTCTTTCGAGAATCAAAAGATTTTACTGTTGATAAGGTTTATTAAAATATTTCATAACATATGAGCCGCGCAGTCTGATCAGGGTCCATGCTGTTCGCTATCAGTTTCTCGATCTACTTGTATTAGGATTTGTAAGCGAACAGTATGGATCCTGATCAGACTGCGCGGAAGCGCAGGCTGGTCTGGATCCATGCTGGTCGCAATCCCATTATGTTGGTTTTGTCGTGACGCGGCTATATAGCTGTATACCACTCAGTTGTTGTTGTTTTTTACATTCTTAAGTAAGTTTTTTAATTGGTAAATTTACATATTTAAAGTATACGTCAGTACTAAGTCTTGCAGGTTTTACTATATACTAGTAACAAATTTTTGTTGTTTTAAAGAGATTGGCCAAAGACCAGTCGGTTTCAGACAAACTCGTTTTTGTCAAAGTTGACGTAGATGAAGCTACGGTACGTTGTTTATATCTTATATTTCATTTGACTTGACTATTTATAATGAATACATGAATTGAAGACATAAATGCAAGCTTAGTTTACAAAAAATATATGAGAATCAATTGGAGGAAGTACGTGGTAATAAATGCTTATTTACTTGAATATACTGATATGTACATTGCATTACATTATATTATTATTCTTTGATATTTTAGACGAAACCCGTAATCCTATGGTTTTACGAAGAAGTTGAATAGTTATAAAATGCACTGTTTTGTTCCACTTGAAGTGTCTATGTAATACATTAATATATGGAAGTGGTACATTTTTTTGTCTTGTTAATTAAGTATACCCTTCCCTCACGCCAAACTGCATTCCCGAGTGTCCCCAGAGATCCGGATTCCAACCATCCTGCCTTTTACTGTGATAATTGTGCTCCCGTGCATTCCCGATTATCTGCCCCTACTCACCACAGTAAACAGTCTAAGTACAGTGCAAAAGGCCAATAGAATCAAGGGCCCCTAAATCATAATATCTCAATGTCGTCAGTTGGCCCCCAACAAACTAAAACATTCAAATCTAACTCTTGTTGTTTCAAATGATATTGAATGCGTTACAAGTTGAATTACTGTGTCACTGTTCACCAGCATTGTTATATAATATTTTAGGACATCGCACAGTGGATTGGAATAGAATGTATGCCGATGTTTGTATTCTACCAAAATGGGGAAAAGGTTTGGGTATTTTTCAGTCAATAGTACTATACGTCCGGAATATGCAATAGAAATTTCAAGAAAAAAATATATTAATTCAACATTATAGATTTACTGTTTTCCGCCCTTTAGCTCATGTAATTATGCGTGTATAAGTTTTCTAATTACATGTATATTTTTACATATAACCCACACTTGTAGTAAAGCACTTACCGAAAAACAAAATATAGAATAAACATTTTTAATGTTTGTATGTCTTTTTAGATTGATGAATTTGCTGGAGCTAATGGACAACTTTTAGAGAAGAAGATAAGAGAGTATGCACAAATGTCTTAGAAAAAATAAACATTTTATATACTCACGTATTTTGCCAGTGATAATATATTGTGGCTTTATATCGGAGCTCATTGAAAGAAAAGCTTACTAACACTGTTTAAATTTGTATTTAACTTGGATATGCAACAACACAAAATGAATTATAATAATAACATGTCAATTAACTTACATAACGTATATTGCATAAAAAAATCCTGTCATAAAAAGGAAAATAAATGGGAAGAGCATAACTTTCAACTTTCTTACCCAATGTACCTTTAAAAATAATGGATTTTCATAAATTATAAAATAATAAATAAATAATAGTCAGTGGTCTTATTTTTTAAATGACTTTGTTTTTGTAAGAGTTGTGTATAACACATATTTTCCATTATTTTATCCAGTACTAGCCTATTTTTAGCATCTTCATCGCAAGACATGTCTAAAACTATCTCTAAGTAGGCTAAGTTGAATGTGATAGTAGGAGCATGTTTGGTTAGCTGAGATCTACGCTGAACGTCTGGTACTATTTGTTAATTAAATTTATTTCTCTAGAATTACTTTCCTTCATACTCTTGAGCCTTGTGAGCTCAAAAAAAACAACAACAATAACAAAGTTTGTAATTATAATTTCCATTTTATTTCATCCTTAAAATAAATAAACCAGTAGATCTACAATTATATCTGATACTACATGCATATATAAAAGCTATCAGGTACTACATACATGTATGTATGCTAAATAATAACATACATGTATAGTAATAAATATCACAGATTATGCAATGGACGGATTTTAATGGCTTCAAAACAGTATTTCACCACATGGGTAATTGCTTATAAAACACTTCAATGAAATAAAAAAAAATTGGTAATAAATTATTTCAAATCATATATGTTAATCTTTTTACATAATTATAAAAACAGAGTGTGACTCTAAATTGTCTTCATATGTTATCTTAGTTATCTATATCACATATACACTGTCAGATGCATTTTTTTTAAAATTTACATAAAGTTTATTCATAAGTGAAATTTTTCACATTTAACTTAAAGAATTGATTTACAGCAATTAGGCCATATGGTGACATCCTCCATGATTTGGCAAACCTATTTCAAACACAGATAATCTAGTCTGTCAGTTATCTAAATTAAAACCTAGTCCACTAATTATCTCAGCCTCATCAACGACGCTACATACACCCAGACAGAGAGCACAGAATTAGGATATGGATGGACATACACTGCCAGTGCATACTCAACATCGCTCGACTCCTGGGAATGTACACCAGTTGCGTAGACAGTCTCGATTATTGGTTCGATCTCTGTGAAAGGCATGTTGATGGGGAATCCAGAAACCTAAAATAAAAATATGAATGAATAAATAAAAAACAAAACTAGTCATGTCATAATTTTTAGTTAATCCTTCTTCAAAAGAGCTGTATCTTTGTATGAAGATAGAATATACTAAATATCACAACATAGGATTATTACACCATCAAGATAAATTAATTAGAAAATAGAATAAAATGTATCAAATTTAGATTTGAGTAACAAACTATCTGCGTCCATATGTTTTATACTTGAATCAGCATTCTCTCAAGTGTATATGCTATCCACTTGGCTTCATTTACAACACAATATTGTCCAAACAGACCAAAACAACACCAATTGTCCACTCATGGCTAAAACAACACAAAATTGTCCACTCATGAATACATCAAGCAAATGTTTTGGATATTGACATCTATGATGCTGTACAATTACACTAATTTTGAGATAAATATACCTCGAGATCTAAACAAAAGAGTTTAAAAATAAGAACACAATATTGTATGTTTGATATGACTGAATATATGAGGAGGTGAAATTACCTTGTATGAACTGAACGACTGCTCTAGCTCATGTATATGTTGCTCACCTACAGACTTCCCACAGTTCTCCTCTAGCCTGAAATATGTACAATAAACTTTGAAATCATTTCAAAAAATTCACATTACTCATTTTTGTTCTCCCAATTTTAATATATTTACTATTATTTACAGAATCAGCAGACCTTTGACATTGATATAAATTTACTAAATACTCATCTATGTATAACTATACAAATTTCTAACTTAATATAATATAATAAACACTTTAAAGGTTAAAATACATATCGTTTTGACATGCATACTCACAATGGAAGCATTTTTCTCATCACTTGGGTACAGTGTCTGTTCCAGCGTGTAATGTAGCGACTCCTCCAGTCCATGATCTTGTTCTTCAGTGTTGACTGTATCTTCTCCTGTAACTCTACTACATAATCCTTGTCTGTTGGGAAGTAGTATAATGCATCAGGCTGTAAAACAAGAAATAGCTTAAAATATATAAGTAACACCTAAAGACGATCACTGACAGGACTTTTGACAATGATCACATCAAAGAATTACATTCTTTTATCTTAATATACATAATCTGTTATCATCCTACTGTTGAAAGCAGTAATTTTTAAGGTGTCAGTGAAAATACTCCTTCATACAGAGTTGCTGAGGAATAATTCGTAGAATAATCGTAATAAATATAAGCACTTACCTGAATACTACCAAGACCAGGGGCCGGGTTCCTCTTGGTAAACAATGGCTCCCACTGGGAGGCATCAGCAAAGTTATACATGATCTGAGATGGTTTGTCATACACTTGAATGTTTGCCCAAATCTAAAAATGTAAGAAAATTCACAAAATTAAAGGATGGGAAATAAATCTAGAATTGCTAGACATTGTTGTGTTATAAAGCTGGGCATTGCAGTTTCATAACAGAAGACTCAAACGTATTTTCCTATTTAAACCTATGTAAACTAAGTGATTCCTAGAGTGTGGCCATTTTTTACCCCAGGGGTATGATTTATATAACTTTTGAAGAGGACCACAAGGTGATGCTTCATGCTAAATATTTAACTTTTTGGCTTTATATTTTCTGAAAAGATTTTTAAAAATTTCATTTTAAAGTCTATTTTTTTAGCTCCTGTGACTTACTTAAGCATCAGACTTGAACTGTTTATATAACTTTTGTAGAGGACCACCTAAGGATTATTTCTGCACAGTTTAGTCAAAATCCATCAAGAAGTTTAAGAGATGTTGTTTAAAGAAATAGTGGACAATGAGGAATGTCTGACAATGAATGACAGACACACTGCCATCATAAAAGATCAAATTAAATTCACAGTATCTAAAGAATTACATTTTCATGATTGACAATGCATCCTATTTTCTGAAGTGGGCTGGTAGTGTCCTGAGTGCGAAAATGATCCCCACTGCTTGGGTTCCAAATCCAAAAATTGCCGTTGTCTTCCTCTGTCAGCACATAGGCTGTGGGGCCTTCTGGAATAGCAGAACCACAGATAAGCCACGCCTTCTTTCCTATTGACAGGAAGAAATTGACCAGTAAAATAGCATGCTCCTCTTCGTCCCCTGACAGCATTTGTAGAAATTGCTGAAACAAAATTATAAATAAATACAATATGTCCCACTTCATTAAAAACAAAAAAGCAAAATCATTTTTATCAATATTATATGTAATACTGTGACATCTTTGTGTTTATTGATGTTATATGTTTCAATGTTCCTGTTTTAACCAACTGCATATCATCTATACATACCCACACAAGAGTTTAGTCATTGTCACCAAATAACCAAAACCGGTAAAATTTCTACAACAAAATTATTGTGATCTGTATTGTCATAGATCTGATTTTACGCATTTAAAAAATGCTTCTCTGTAGATAGTAAAATCATATTTTGATAATTCACATATTTCAAAAATTTAAAATATAATTTTCATAGTAACCTGACTATATTTGAATGCAATGAAAAATAAATATCATTAATAAATGGCAATATTGTGAAAAATACAATTATTCATCAGTAAAATGGAATTGATAACATGAAGCACTTTAATATTTGCAAATAACTTGTTTGAAATGAAACAAAATTCATGAAATATTACAGAACTATTTTTCAATATGATTAATTGATGACATCATGCAGGAGAGCACATGAAAAAAATCAGTCAAAATAACCACTAAAAACTCATGGTAATAAATAGAAATTAGTTTGTTTGTATATTAGATCAAATAATATTTCACTTGTGAACACCAGCAAAAATATTGCATCTGATGTTTACTCTGTGAAATAAATTTCCATCTTACATACAAAACAAACAAATATCCTCAATATTTTACCTACTTACTTTCCTAACAACATGTTCTCACTTTAAGAAGATGATATAAAACTTACATCACATGTGTTCCATATATCACAGAGACCTGGAAATATCATAGAATCCGACACAAATGGAATAAGTGACACATATCTGGCCACAAGTTCAGATGTAGCTTCCAATGATAGACCTTTATCCGTTAATTCCTCTGGTGGTTTGATAGCTTTAAAATACCGTGTTATAAACACAGATTTGAAGTTAGTGTCTGTAACAAATGTTTTCACTTCACGTTTAGGTGTAAATAAGTTGGAGATTCTTTCCTGCCATTCATCAGCATAGACCATCAACTTCTCTTCCTCATTTGTTGTAAACTGAAACAATAAATCAATGTATTGAATGGTTAAAAAACACAAAATGGAAACAAAATGTGCATGTTTTTGAAAATGTGTAGGGGTATATCGTTTATACTGCCATTTAAGTTCAAGATGTTAACCCGAGGTAATTTTTTGTTGTTGCGTTTTTGAATCACATCAACATTGAAAAAACATTCAATCTTTACTAATTGACAAAGGTGTCTCTTTGTGTATTGAATCAGGTACATTTAACCACAAGTGTGTACATTCAACCACATGATTCAGCCTACCTGCTGGCAGTGACTGATTCTACCTACCAAGATCTGTTCGTGATCACGGTCTACACTGTTTGCTATACAATCCAATACATATTTCAAAATTTTCCCTAAAAATGATAAATGGTTTAAAAATTAAGATATTTAGTGCGGTAAGAGTTATGTGAAATGAAAACTTAACATAACTAGACATAAAACATAATATATCATTGTAACATCATATACATGTAAATGACTAAATGTAATATCATTTTATACATTTATGATATTAAAACAAGCATAATCTTACCCTTTCTTTAGCAGGTTCTGGCTGAGTCAGTGGTGGTTCAATTGTTATAAACATGCTGAGTAATGTTTTAACATCTTTGCTCAACCCGACATCCATCTCGCCCATGTGTAGAGACTCTGGTACATAACCCAGCAATACAGGCGGAGCATTTACACGGAATGTACCATCAATCTTAATAAAACAAAACAAAAAAAAAAGATAATTGTTAAATATAACAATTTTTAAGAGTTTTAAACTGATAAGTGATAAACTGATTTTTTATCATTCCAGAAAATGAACGGGGCTAGTCTACTGCTTATGTATTATTTTCATGGTGGACTAATTCTTGTGGATATAGGTCAATCCACAAATTTATAATCCAATGAAATTTCAATTTGTCTGCTGTAAGATTATTTTGTATTACAACTGTTGGCATTTTACTTTTTGCAAAAAAAAAAACAACAACAAAACAATCCACAAATTTAAGGACTTTTGTGACAAAACTGTAATTTCATGCACAAAATGAAGTGAAATATAGATTATAAGTTTGATCTACTATCAGGTAAACTGTTGATACATGACATCAGTACTGTTCAATGGTTCATAACATGTATAATAATGACAGGCATGTTCTTTAAGCTATAATATGTAATAAACAGATATAAAAGGAAATGCATATGTTTCCTTGAACAAAAAACATAAGAATTCAAAGCTTCTCTTCTACAGAGTCTATATGATGGTCTAATGTTAGGTAATAAAAATATGATGTGCAGAGTGAAGACTAATAATAATAATACAAACCTTTCCATTAAAATAAACAGTAGTAAATGGAATTTTTAGACTACCAAGCCATTTTTTCTCTATTCTCTGATGTACAGAACTTCCTCTTTCCCTGTCATCCTGAAAACATATACCACACTGTAATCTACACTGTTTCCCCTCCTCTGTTTATGTCCAACCCATTTTTGGGACCTACACATTTAAGTTATGCATATTGACCACTCCCTGGGTGCCATAAGCAGTTTTTGCACCAGCGTGGATTTTGAAAGTATACAGATAATGTAAGCAGCAGTTATTAAGAGTTCAGTGCATATAACCCTATAACCACTCTTCCTCCTCAAAAATTATATATGTATTTTTCTTTAATGTTCACGTTGCACTTTAGCAGGCTGCCAGCCCGCATAGTTCAATCAGTAAGAGCAAGAGACCTGTTATCTAGACAGTCTTAAATCAAGGCCTGTTTATGAGTGCTTTAAGTATTTCAGTATCTTTCTGTATCTGTATCTTGCACTATCCTCCAAAATCTAAAATGACTAATACTCTTCTATAGGACTCAACAATATGGGCAATCGATGGCGAATATAAATAAACTCAAATTTAGTAGGTTTATTAGGAAAACATTGTATATCATCACTGAAGTAACTATTTATAACAATGTAAGTTTTAATGTACTTTATACAATGATATGCCAGTACTATGCACCACTGACTGTATAATAAAATCTGAAGGTGAAACAGTATAAAGAAATCTTATTTAGCCTTATCTTTTTTTACATTTCTTAATGAGTCCATAATTATTAATTTTAGGAACAAGAAGAAAATTTGAAGGCATCAATATGGGGCCTTGTTAGAATACACAATGACCTGGTTCTAGACTGGTGGCAATGGTTGTTCCGACACTTTAAAGTTTTAAATAAATAGAAATGTAAAATTTGAAAGACTTTACCTGTTGAATATCGACAACCACTTCATCAAACAGATTCAAGAATATACTGTCACCAAGTGTTTGTAGGTTACTTGGACTAAAATCATCATTTGGTGCTCTGTAATATGAAAACAATCTTTTAATACTTAACCCTTAGTCTACTAGAAGCACCTGTGCGTTCACATACAACCAGTGCAAGATCAGCCAACACAGATGAAGGTCTGCGCTGTTTGCTATTCTGTCAATACTTATTTTAAGATTTTCCCTAATATTGATAGTTACTTTGTCCACATTGTAAGATAGACAAGACCATTAGAGCCGCGTCATGACAAAACCAACATAATGGGTTTGCAACCAGCATGGATCCAGATCTGATCAGGATCCATGCTGTTCGCTGTCAGTTTCTCTACTTGTTATAGGGTTTGTAAGCGAACAGCATGGATCCTGATCAGACTGCGCGGATGCGCAGGCTGGTCTGGATCCATGCTGGTCACAAACGCATTATGTTGGTTTTGTCAAGACGCGGCTCATTTATGATATTTAGCATGGTAAGGGTTATATATGCTTTTCAATGAAATTCTAAAACATTCAGTGAAATATGAGACATCACACTGTGAGTGAAATACAAAAATTAGGTCCCTGTTGTAAATATTGAAAAATATAGCAAAGAAGACCATGTAAATTATGTAGATTTTAAAGAATTGAGATTAATTTCAAACTTATTAGCTTCATTTTCTGCCATTTTTGTTAATGTATTACTAGTTTTTATGTAAAACATATAGAGTATGACTTATGATAAAGAGAAAATGCATTTATGATCAGTAAACATTGAACATCCATTGGTCATGTTTATTGAAATACTCTTGTAGCTAAGGCAACACTCATTTATAGTACTCATTCATAGTTTCACATGTGCTTACTTAAAATTTGTTGTGTACTTACTTACAATTTCACATGTACTTACTTAAAGTTTCATAATTATGTACTTACTTAAATGGTATCACTAATTCTTCATTAAAACTTGGATTAGGTCCGTCGCCCACTGAGGTCTTTATTGAATTATGCTGGAACATTACTTCAATAAATGGCCGAACTGTTGTCTGTAAATCAAATGTACTGTTGTGATAAATGTTTTCATGAAATATCATAAATCAAAACAAAATTCTAATAAAATGTCTTTGCAATGTACATATTAAAGGAAGTTTGCACGTGGCTGCCAGTAACCAGCTTGAGGGTGACTGTTCAAGGCAGTAACAAAACCTTCCTGAGTTACAGCTAAAGAACTACTACTCTGAGAGCCTGATGTTCCCATCTGAACTGTCAGTGTTTGATTCTTTTTCTTGCACATTATATATCAACTATAATTCATCACAAACACTGGAAACTAACATTTACTTATACTAACTTATGAATTTACAATTTCAATCACAATATACCAGGGAGGTGTAAGATAACTATAACAGCAATTACAAAATTATCATTAATTGTTTTGTACAAAATAAAAGGAATGTAAGAAATTTCTATGCAAAAAATAATCTCAGTCTTATTAATCAATACTACCTAATATAACAGGCAGGCTCTGAAACATTATTGTTTGATAATTGGTAAATAAAAGGTATTAGTATATAATTATGTTTATAATGCAAATTCATTAATCAAAGTAAATAGAAACTATACAAAATTAGCTAAAAATAGGAAATATACTGTATATCAAGTTCAACATAGAACTTGTCAATGTTAGTAATAGAGTATGATGAATAGAAAGTTTAAACTGAAACTATACAATGTTCCTAGGAAGACAAATACATATTCAACTTTGAAAATAATAGAAAATAATATTATACCAAGGGCAAATTGGATCTTGTCAATGTTAGTAATAGAAATATAATAAACAGAAAAAATTCTTTATACCAAATTCAGCCTATATTGTCTGAAAATTTTATACTGCCCATTTTGCAAACATTATCCAGTGGTTGGTTGTGGTATTTTCAACTATATCACCAAAGTGTGAAAATTGTCATTAACCAAAAGGGATATCCATTAGTTGTAAGATTGTATTGAAATAATTAAGGTGTATTTTTACCACAGATAGACAATATAGCGGAAAAACTCAGTGGTAAAATGCAGCATTCACACACAGTAAAGGTATGTGGTTTGATCACACCTAACTCCATACTGTGATGCCTTTCTACTTTTTCCCCACTTTTAAATGTTTTTATTCTTTATATGTGCTGCATTGACAGTATTGAAACATTTACTGCTATCACACGTTTGAAATGATTTTTTATTGAGGAAATATGTCAAAGTAAATACAATAACTCAAAGAAATAAAAAAGTACCACTCTAACCTAACATCAAGCAGCAAAATATTTTTTCTCAGCTATTATTGACATTCTAACCATTTGCGCTATATACCGGTATGCTTGTAATGTACCAAATGTACTATACACTTAGAAGAGAATAATTATCACAGTGTTAAATAGTAAGTTCAACCACCAGATAATATATACAACATTGGCAGATAAACACTTTCAGCACAATACTTATAAAGAAGTTTTAATTGTTAGCAATAGAAGTTAATGAATGGATTAAACAGGAGGTATTTCTAATAAATTGATATAAAGGCAGAGCTGTAATGTTTATATATGATGCAAACGTTGCCGACCTTCATGAAGAAAATAATAAAATTACTCAAGATTATAAGAAAACTTAACTTAGATTTTTTTTATGTTATCATGCATTGCACACAAATTAATGTTTTTGTGAAAGGTGCAGGTATTACGTTTTTCAAGATTACAAACAAAATCGCAATACACTTAATGAGAATTTTTTTGTTGATTTTTTTTTCATCATGCATATCATATCAGTTTTGGTTATTTTGTGCTCAGTGAAAGTGTTGTGTGGTTATTTTGTACATTTCAAATAAGCATACAATTTTTTTTTCTTTCAGAAAACAACTTTTATTTATGATAAATGGTGCTACAAGTATATCAATTAATTAACAAAATATAAATCAGCACCATGAATTTGTTTACTCCATTAACAGTTGATATGGGAAATAAATCTCCAAACTAATCTTTTAACATAACATTTGACATTTTTTTGGACAAAAAAAAAAATTTTGCTAAACCCATGATCATCCCAACCTTATACCACTATAACTTCAACATATTATGTTTAGTGAACTGTGCAATTCTAAGAAATATGAGCCAAATGATCTGCCATAAGTTAAATACTTGTGCCCTTGGCCTTGATATATAATCACTAATAATCAAAATTGAGTGTCAGGAAGTACTCATGTCTGGACATAACAGACAGTTTTTAAGTGACATATTTCAAAAGAAGGCAACATATCTTACAGAATGATAAAACAATAACTTCATTATAACTGTCATTGAAACTGATCCATAAAGAAATAGTGAAAATTGAACAAACTTTATGTTAGAATATCGTTAAAGAACTTGAAGTATAACCTCAGTGATATAATGAACATGTGAGTCTTACAATCCATGAATGAAGATAACAGGCATGATTATTATACCTTAAATTATTGTTAGGTGATTTCGTGCCAATGGAATTTCAGTAGATACAAGACTAATTTGATTTTTTTCAAATACATCTACTTCTTAAAGTAAATTGGTCTATAATATAATATATGTAATACCATAAATAATCATGTTGATAGCATTTAGAATCATAGGTGATACAATACCATGGAAGATTTATATATGGATGTTGTTGGCAAGTATAAGATACATGATCTGATATGACATATATCTAAATATAGCAGATAATGAATTGTTCAAGAATTACTCATTATATAAATGTTCATACTAAATCAATTTTTCAAGGATATCCAAATGGTATAATTCTATTGCTTTTATCAATCCTATGGAAAATGTGCCAAATGTAGACCAATCCACTTTTATTCCTCAAATATTTTTATTGTATAACTCATTTAGGCATCTATATGAGAAGATAAAATTAGTTCAGTCTTGTATCAAACTGAAATAGCACTTGCTCAAGAACTAAAATATTGATATTCGTGAACCCAATGTGTAGAAACACCTCATCCACAATATACTTACACCTTCAATAACCTCCTGAAATTACGATCATTTACAATACAGAAACAAGTAGTATCAGGCATACACATTTAAATTTTAAACATTAAGAAAAAAACCTTTTTCTGCTCGGTGGGTGATCACATTTTTAACATTTTGTAGCTCTTGTATTTTTCAAATGTTTGCAGAAATTTGCCTGGAATATGGTATATGTTAATTATTCAAATACTGTAAAATATTTTGAAAAATTAGCAAAAACATTTCAAGTCATGGGCGCGGCCATTAGCGGTGACCCATTATTACTGTAAACAAATGTCATGTGACCACCCACCCTGTTTATGGAGAGTTAGAGTAACATAAAAACAGGTATTTAACATATTAAAATTACTAGATATTATAACTCTACTGTCACCCTATATAAATCATAACTTTATGTAAAAAGAAATTGATGCTTTGTAATTTTCCCCTCGGGAGCTTTAAAAATATTTCTCTAGGACAGCTATTTTTCCCAACATTTTTCTTTTTTTCCACAGCAAACAAGAATTGTTTAACAACAACCAAAAATTAAAATAATTTGCAAGAAGTCATCAAATCCTTAAAGTAGTCTTGTACAGTTTGGTCATGGGCAAAACTCAGATCTTATTAAGGGACGTTCTTTCTGAATATGAAATTTTTAACTGATTTGAAGTTCACACGGAAGAGTCGATCTTAAAAGCTTATATCTCAATTTATTATTTATGAGGACTATTTCAACCTCATTGTAACACAAATTTACCCTATTAAAAATATTCACTGCAACTTTTATTGAACATCAAATAAAACATTGATATTTATATTAAGTCTAAATTCCTACATATAAAACATTGACATTTATACACAACAATATATTAAATTTTCATTATCATTTGGATTACCTCTGTTCTTCTCCTGTCTGGTTCCCGAGTTGTCATGGCACCTGACCTGAAATTAGAAAATCATTCATGTATTACATCATAGTTAGCCTGCTGGTGGCTGATGAATCTACTCATGCCACCCTTGCAGACTATGATCAGCTGCCACAACAGTGCAGTCTAATAATGGTTCATTATTTACTCAGTACAGAGTTGAAAGTTTTCCCCAAAATATGCTTTCAAGGATTTTACTAATGCCCTTTATAAATACTACTTCAAACGTTGTAAACAGTTTACAATTAAAACAGTTGTAAAATTTTTTATTGTTGCAATATATATTATAGTTTGATTGAAAACAAATAGGTAATAAAACATTTATTGCATGGGTGTTTGTACAACAGTCAAAACTCTTGTCCCTCTTCAGCCTCAAATGTCATCCCTGACATCTAGGGGCAACAGTTTTGACTGTTCATCTTATACCCATAAAATAACTGTATACTGTTTCATTCCATTAGATATGTCACCATGTGCTTAACTATGAAACAGTTTTTGTAAATTCACCCTAAATTTATCATTTCATCTTGTGTAGGAATCTACCATGACTTGATTCTATAATGCTGATCAATGCAACCATATTGAATGCCAATAATTATCAACTTCCAATAAAAGTTTAAAGAGATCTTCCTTACTTTTTTTCATATATTCTTTACAAATAGTGAAATATGTACATATAACTCTATTTAAACAAAACAACACAACAATAAAAAACACAACAACATCATAAAGCTCTAAAAATACTTATAAAGTTTCTTAATAATGAATAATATACATGTATTTAAAATTAATTCAAAAACATTTCACAATATTTTACTGACATTGTACAGGACATATGGCAAGTTTCCAGCTTTAATGGTGGAAGAAGACCTCAAGTGCGTTTTACTTATTACTCCAGGCACAAGTGGGCCTTTGAGTAGAACCACCAACCTTCGGTGAGCTAGCTAGATAGCGATAAAATACAAAATATTGAATTTATGAAATTTAACAAGATAAAATAGAGACTAGATATCACACTCCTAACACATGCGTCACAACAAAAACTGTCAGATCATGATTTTGATATGCAAAAATTCAAGAGAAAAAGGAATTGCAACTTGGTAATGGTAGAGAATAAAATGATAGCCCTTTATCCCATGGATCTTTGATGATATAGAACACATTTTACAGGTTTGAATGTAATTTAAGTTGCACACCTCTAAAAAATAAAACAAGTTCAAATCGTGTATGAAGCTGCAATTTAATGAAAAGTTGAATGTTACAAAAACAAAGAGATGAAATATAATTTAACTTGAAACTTAAATAAGCAATAACACTAACATGGGAAAATGCTTTTCTCAAAGTTTAAATCAATTATCTATTGGGGGAGGAAATTGGTTGATAACAAAAGAAAAGTTATAAATAATGAATATCAAGTAATTAATCTATGAATACTAACTATTTCATGCAAGTTAATTGATATATACATGTATATAGAGAAATAGAATACTATGATTTTACACTAGAATTTGTTCACCTAAGAAATCTAGATAAGAATAAGTTAACAACATAAAAGATGTTTGAGGTACAATATGCTAAAATTCAATTGAAACAATGACAAATGAAACAACAACAAAACAGCAATTGAGATAATAACATAACAGAGACTGAGATAATAACACAAACAACCAGGTAACTGAGATAATGACATCAAAATAACTCGGATAATAAAATTATTATATGATGGCAACTGTGATATCAATATGAATGAGATAATAAAAAAAGGCAAATGAGATAAAAACATAACAGCAACTGTTATAATATCATAACAGTAACTGAGATAACAACATAACAATAATGGATAATAACATAAAAGCAATTGAGATAACAATATGAATGAGATAGTAACATAAAGGTAATGATATAATAACAGTGTGTGGAACAATAATATAAAGACACCCTACTGAAATAATAACACAAAGTAAAATGAGATAACAATATAACCGTAACTGAGGTAATAACATAACAGTCACTGAATTAATAACATAAATCAAGTAAGATAATAATATTAATTGAAAGGAAGAAAATAATGAAATTTTGATGTAACAAAATGGAAAGGAAAGAAAGAGGTAATAACATAAATGAAACTAAGATACATGTACCATCATAAGAGAAACTGGGGTAACATCATAAAGGAAACTGAGATAATAACATAAAGGCAGACCTGCGGGTGCAAGAGAAAAGGTTTTTTTACATGATTAGTTCTATAATCATAGTTCAAGTATACACAAAACACCTAGAACAACACAATATAGAAAATGTATACAGCCATTACACTCATAGATGTATAAAGGGTCATGCTTTACTAATAATAATAAACAGTGTGACACAATATCTATATACCTCCATGTATTTTGAGTAGCTTCATTTATTTCTAGCCTGTCATGAACAAATGATAACAGTAAAATAAAATATATGATTATGTTTTATCATTTCTTTCTATTTCTGCATGAAATTGTGTACTCTACTAGTTACTGAATTAGTTTCAGGAACTTTGATGAATATTACATTTAACGTATAACAAAGGGATAATACAGTTTGAAACCAAATGTCGATAATTTAAAATACATACCATTTTCATCTGAAGATGATAACATGTTCAAGGAAAGTTTATTTTTTTCCTTCCAAAATATCAAGAGAACTGAAATCAAATTACTTCCTTGCTGAATTTTAAATGAACTAAATTAAAATTTCTTCCTTGCAGAAAACTGAGAGAACTTAATTTATATTACTTCATTTCAGAGTGCATCTGTAAGGATAGCTGAGTTAAAGTAACTTCTAGCAGACAATGGAGAGAACAAAATTCAAGTTACAATACTTCTTTTCTGAGTGTAAGGAGTACTGAATAAGTTACTCTCTTGCAGAAAATGGAGAGAAATGAATTAAAGTTACTCCCTACAAGAGTTTAAGGAGAGCTTAATTAAAGTTATATTCATGCTTGATCTTTAAATAATTGATTTAAAGTTCAGCTGCACAAATTTGATTTCATAAAGAAATGGGGAAATAAGTTTTGAATCATATTATATTTTCTTTTAAGTCATAATCATACAATATATCTGTAAATAAAAAAGTCCTAATAAAAAAACAACAGAAAAACAAGCCAAATATATAACTTGTGTAACATAAGTAACAAATCAAACCATTCAAACATTAAGATAGCTGACTAAGACTGGTGTTTCATACATCAATTGTTATATTATGGAGTGTAATATGATTGATATTCATGTACTTGGCAATTGTACATGTACTATGTGCAAGTTCTAAGTATTGTAATCTGTTACAAACATACATGTTTGTACACCATCATAAATGTAAATAATGGTGTACATAAGGTCATAACTTGTCCAAAGTGTTTATAACAAATCTTTAATACTGTTACTAATTCTAAGAAAAGAAACTATTAAATATGCTTTATTTCTTCTTAAATATTTCATCATTTCCCACCAGTTGAGCAACTACCTTCAATTAACAGTTGTAACAGGAAGTGTACCAGAAATCTAAGGCATTGAGATAGGCTTGTACCCCACCATAGGTCATTCTATAACATAAGTTATACATCCTAAGTTGACCTTCAATATCAAGTTTTCTCAAAAAATCTGCACTTTGCTACTTCATTCTGATAAATTTGATATTAAATACAACATGAAAATGTGAGTTGCTGCATACCTTTATAACAATTAGCATTTCATGGCCTATTTATATCCAAAAAGAATTTGTATCACATCAAACTCTATTACGATGACAATTTATAGATAAATACATTGAAAAAAAAACCCCACAAATTCTGAAAGTAATTGAGACAATATTTAATTTTAAGATCAGATCACCCTAAAAAGTATTTATTCATAGCAGTTAAAGTCTTTAAAATTGAAACAAAAAATCCATTCCAGCATGACATATCAATTTACTTACCAAAACAAAAGGAGTTTCAAAATGATTTTTTAATTTTTAGTTTACAACATGTATATAAAACTAAAAACAAACTAGCAAGGATATATCTGCAAATACACTAAGAGGTCAGTAACGGGATGATGTATACATAGCTTAGAAATGATCCATAACTTGGTTCATCAAAGTGGTCTTGTTTGTTTGTTTGTTTCATTTTACGCCTTTTTCCAACAGTATTTCAGTCATATAGGCGGGTAGTTTCCTAACCATCATTCCTGGAGAGTTACACCAGTACTTGACTATCTTCCTCCGCTAAACTACCAAAGCATCTCCCGGGGATCGAACCCACGCCAGAGAGGTAACTGGATTAGAAGTCATCGACTCTAACCCCTCGACCATGGAGGCGGTTATCAAAAGTGGTACATATGGTCTTTTTTTCTATTTCTAAATCAAATGCCTTGTTAAGTCAGCTTTAGGCAGTTTATATTAGAGAACCATTGAACAGTATTATATAATATACACATTAAGTTTGGAAATTATCTGTTTATTATTATTATGATTAGGTTGATGGAAAGTTACATTATGCTCATTTTCTCCTGAGTAACTGAACTTAATCAGCTCTTTCAAAAGATATTGTCTATTATAATGTCACCAACTAAGAATTGATTATGGCAAATGTTAGCAGTAAAATATAAAAACTATCTATTATATGTATATTTAAAATATACATATAACTTTCTGTGAGTCAAATGGGTTACTTATTATTCAAGTTAAGCAGTGAAGTTGAAAATAAAATTGAAAACAATTATGCACATAATTTCACTTTTACCTGAATACTGCCCTTCCAAACTTGAATTGGTGTAAGATCACTTTAAAGTTTCCCTATTTCCACATATAAAGGTACCCTTAAACATTGTTTGAGGATATCAAATAAATATAAGGTCTACAATTAGTCTGATTAATATATGCATAAAACTAAGATTGTACCATAAATATTAAAAGAAGAAATAATGAACATAATGAACATACCCTGCAGCAGACGCAGCCATTCTGATGGGAACATTCTGTGCACGACTTATGTTCACCAATATCTTCACCTCATCACCCTTGATATTCTGTGCTGTCACCTTCTTACGTTCTCTACGTCTTGGCTTCAGTGGAGCTTTACGCTCAAACACCTTTAATAAATTACCTCCCAAAATTCTGAAAAAGATAGGATTTAGAAATAAGCATGACATAAAAATAACATTCATTGTAATAAGGAAAAGAATATAAGAATCTTACACCAACTGCCGGTACAGACCCGAATATCTAGCTCTAGGGTTACTGTTTACGGCGGTAACGAGGCTCTGCCGTGTTTCCGCTAAACAGTTGCCCGTGAGCTAGATATTCCCGTCTGCACCAATTGCAGGTGTTTGATTCTTTTTCTTGCATATTACATGTCAATTATTTTCGGAACAGAAATTATGGAAACTGATATTCTCATTATGCACTTTTTTCTTATAGTAGCGTATGAACATACAACTTCATTCATAACGGAAAAATGACGTCATCCTAAGAAAGCGATTCATTCATAAAAGGTGCACGAAAATGACATCATTTAAAGCACGCGACTTGTCTTACATGGGGGGTGTAAGATAGAGTTTTCTAGCCTCGGTGTAAACGGTAGATAATCCTGTTTGAGATGCAAGAAATAGAGGATATTTGTTTGTTTGTGTGTAAGATGAAATTTTATTTCATCGAGTGGGCTTTAAAAACAGTATTCTCACGAGTGGCGAAGCCACGAGTGAGAATACTGTTTTTAAAGCTCACGAGATGAAATAAAATTACATCTTACACAACAAACAGACAAATTTTCTTTTTATTTTATGCTTAAAAACAAGTTAAAACGAAATTTCCATAATTTTAACGTTAATATTAAAACTGTTTCCCCCATTGAGAGCCCCATTTATTCGGAATTTCTCATTAAAAAAAAGAAGTCTTGAGCTGAAAAATAAGTCCGCCAATCAACATTAAATGACAGTGATATTTATTAATTTTATTAAAAAAATATGAATGATCGCTTGTTTTGATAATAAAAACAAACAATTCTTGTAGGAGAAAAAGTCCAACCATCCATCCATATTTCTGTTACTTAGTGCGAATTTATATTAGACCTGGCTTTGTAAATTGTAAGCGGCAGCCATTTTTTAAAGTTGTGTATTTCATGGGAGGAAAATAATTGTGTAAGATTCAGAGGGATATAATTTGGATTTGTTAGTCATACACATTTTTAAAAGAAAGAAAACTTATTTGAGGATTGTAACAGACAAAAAATAAGTGTTGACAGATGTGAAAACATTCAGAAAAGAAGCTAGGAAAATGGAAAACTTGGAAACCTGCTCAAGAACGCTGGGTTGATTTAACTTATTCTTCGAGTTATGGCTGTCAATGCTTTCAATTTTTCATAAAGCATACATGCTCGTAGGATACTTTAATATGCCCAAATGTCATCAAGAGCAGTTTTGCATGGGGAAGGAATGTATTTTTGAGACTGTCAAAATGAAACAAAAAAACGAAATTTGTTGGTTGGAATTTCATGAATTTGAATGAATAGAAGTAAGTTTTCTTCTTTTTATCACACACCCGTGCCGATTTTGCGACTCCGTAAATATGGTATTGCACGGCCGTGCATATATTTTGACGTGACGTCATTAGCGTTATACAAACAGTGAAAAGACGCGCTAAATGTTAGCGTTATACTATAGACGCGTCAATGAAAAATGACTCTTATTTCACTTTAAACGGTCTTTATTTTGGGTATGTAATAAATAGAATATTAAATTCGTGTAAGTTCATTACTGAATTTATTGCACTCGTTGAATAAAATAATATTATGCTCGCCAGAGGCTCGCATAATATAATTTTATTCAACTCGTGCAATAAATTCAGTATTGAACTTACACTCATTCAATATCCTCTATTTATTACTTTTGACATTTAAGTTATTTATCAATTTCAGTTTTGCTTTTTCTTTAAACAGCCTGACATTGTCAGAATTGTCAGCAAAAATAAAATTGAGGTACCACATGGGGAAAATCTTAAAAAAGTAGTTTCGTCATTGAAAAGAGTGAAATTATATTTTGATAATTTTCACTGTGAAATTACCAAATATAATTTTCACGGATAAATCAGTAATCCACTGAAAAGCATAAAATAAACAATATAAAATGCACAGTGCATTTACATATAGAATTTTAAGAAAGAGTAGATCCCCAAAAAGTAATGAAAACAAAACCAAATGTATGAAAATTGACTTGGCTTTACTGAGTCTGTTCATGAGAGATAAAGCAAAACGAAATTATTGTCACACCTCTTTGCACAATCAGAAGCAGTATGTAATCTTCAACACTAGAAGTATTGGAATAAAGTAACTTGAAAGACCAGAAAATGCATCAACATTGAGATGAAGTATTGAGTAACATGGTATAGCTGCCTAACAGAACTTAACACCTACTGTTGTAAGTACAACAGTTCTAAGTTAATATAATTATGTTACTAAAAATTGAAAGCTTATACATAGTATAGATGAACAGAGAATAACTTACGCAATGTTTGGTACAGCTTCCTCATACATACTATAGATGAACAGTAGAATAACTTACGCAATGTTTGGTACAGCTTCCTCATACATACTATAGATCAACAGTAGAATAACTTACGCAATGTTTGGTACAGCTTCCTCATACATACTATAGATCAACAGTAGAATAACTTACGCAATGTTTGGTACAGCTTCCTCATACATACTATAGATGAACAGTAGAATAACTTACGCAATGTTTGGTACAGCTTCCTCATACATACTATAGATGAACAGTAGAATAACTTACGCAATGTTTGGTACAGCTTCCTCATACATACTATAGATCAACAGTAGAATAACTTACGCAATTGTTTGGTACAGCTTCCTCATACACACTATAGATCAACAGTAGGAATAACTTACGCAATGTTTGGTACAGCTTCCTCATACACACTATATAGATGAACAGTAGAATAACTTACGCAATGTTTGGTACAGCTTCCTCATACATACTATAGATGAACAGTAGAATTACTTACGCAATGTTTGGTACAGCTTCCTCATACATAGTATAGATCAACAGTAGAATAACTTACGCAATGTTTGGTACAGCTTCCTCATACATAGTATAGATCAACAGTAGAATAACTTACGCAATGTTTGGTACAGCTTCCTCATACATACTATAGATCAACAGTAGAATAACTTACGCAATGTTTGGTACAGCTTCCTCATACATACTATAGATCAACAGTAGAATTACTTACACAATATTTGGTACAGCTTCCTCATACATAGTATAGATCAACAGTAGAATAACTTACGCAATGTTTGGTACAGCTTCCTCATACACACTATATATCAACAGTAGAATAACTTACGCAATGTTTGGTACAGCTTCCTCATACAAAGTATAGATGAACAGAGAATAACTTACGCAATGTTTGGTACAGCTTCCTCATACAAAGTATAGATGAACAGTAGAATAACTTACGCAATGTTTGGTACAGCTTCCTCATACATACTATAGATCAACAGTAGAATAACTTACGCAATGTTTGGTACAGCTTCCTCATACATACTATAGATCAACAGTAGAATAACTTACGCAATGTTTGGTACAGCTTCCTCATACATACTATAGATCAACAGTAGAATAACTTACGCAATGTTTGGTACAGCTTCCTCATACATACTATAGATGAACAGTAGAATAAACTTACGACAATGTTTGGTACAGCTTCCTCATACATAGTATAGATGAACAGAGAATAACTTACGCAATGTTTGGTACAGCTTCCTCATACATACTATAGATGAACAGAGAATAACTTACGCAATGTTTGGTACAGCTTCCTCATACAAAGTATAGATGAACAGAGAATAACTTACGCAATGTTTGGTACAGCTTCCTCATACATACTATAGATGAACAGAATAACTTAGTAGATAACTTACGCAATGTTTGGTACAGCTTTCCTCATAACATACTATACTATCAACAGTAGAATAACTTACGCAATGTTTGGTACAGCTTTCCTCATAACATACTATAGATCAACAGTAGGAATAACTTACGCAAATGTTTGGTACAGCTTCCTCATACATACTATAGATGAACAGTTTAGTAGAATAACTTACGCAATGTTTGGTACAGCTTCCTCATACACACTATAGATCAACAGTAGAATAAACTTACGCAATGTTGGTACACGCTTTCCTCATACACACTATAGATCAACAGAGAATAACTTACGCAATGTTTGGTACAGCTTCCTCATACATACTATAGATCAACACTTACGCAATGTTTGGTACAGCTTCTTCATACATACTATAGATGGAACAGTAGAATAACTTACGCACATGTTTGTACAGCTTCCTCACACATACTATAGATGAACAGTAGAATAACTTACGCAATGTTTGGTACAGCTTCCTCATACATACTATAGATCAACAAGTAGAAAATAACTTACGCAATGTTTGGTACAGCTTCCTCATACATACTATAGATCAACATAGAATAACTTACGCAATGTTTGGTACAGCTTCCTCATACATACTATAGATGAACAGTAGAATTACTTACGCAATGTTTGGTACAGCTTCCTCATACATACATAGATCAACAGTAGAATAACTTACGCAATGTTTGGTACAGCTTCCTCATACATACTATAGATCAACAGTAGAATAACTTACGCAATGTTTGGTACAGCTTCCTCATACATACTATAGATCAACAGTAGAATTACTTACACAATATTTGGTACAGCTTCCTCATACATAGTATAGATCAACAGTAGAATAACTTACGCAATGTTTGGTACAGCTTCCTCATACATACTATAGATCAACAGTAGAATAACTTACGCCAATGTTTGGTACAGCTTCCTCATACAAAGTATAGATGAACAGAGAATAACTTACGCAATGTTTGGTACAGCTTCCTCATACATACTATAGATCAACAGTAGAATAACTTACGCAATGTTTGGTACAGCTTCCTCATACAAAGTATAGATGAACAGTAGAATAACTTACGCAATGTTTGGTACAGCTTCCTCATACATAGTATAGATGAACAGAGAATAACTTACGCAATGTTTGGTACAGCTTCCTCATACAAAGTATAGATGAACAGTAGAATAACTTACGCAATGTTTGGTACAGCTTCCTCATACATAGTATAGATGAACAGTAGAATAACTTACGCAATGTTTGGTACAGCTTCCTCATACATAGTATAGATCAACAGTAGAATAACTTACGCAATGTTTGGTACAGCTTCCTCATACATACTATAGATGAACAGTAGAATAACTTACGCAATGTTTGGTACAGCTTCCTCATACATACTATAGATCAACAGTAGAATAACTTACGCAATGTTTGGTACAGCTTCCTCATACATACTATAGATCAACAGTAGAATAACTTACGCAATGTTTGGTACAGCTTCCTCATACATACTATAGATCAACAGTAGAATAACTTACGCAATGTTTGGTACAGCTTCCTCATACATAGTATAGATCAACAGTAGAATTACTTACGCAATGTTTGGTACAGCTTCCTCATACATACTATAGATCAACAGTAGAATAACTTACGCAATGTTTGGTACAGCTTCCTCATACATACTATAGATCAACAGTAGAATAACTTACGCAATGTTTGGTACAGCTTCCTCATACATACTATAGATGAACAGTAGAATAACTTACGCAATGTTTGGTACAGCTTCCTCATACACACTATAGATCAACAGTAGAATAACTTACGCAATGTTTGGTACAGCTTCCTCATACACACTATAGAATCAACAGTAGAAATAACTTACGCAATGTTTGGTACAGCTTCCTCATACATACTATAGATGAACAGTAGAATAACTTACGCAATGTTTGGTACAGCTTCCTCATACATACTATAGAATGAAACAGTAGAATAACTTACGCAATGTTTGGTACAGCTTCCTCATACATACTATAGATCAACAGTAGAATAACTTACGCAATGTTTGGTACAGCTTCCTCATACATACTATATAGATCAACAGTAGAATAACTTACGCAATGTTTGGTACAGCTTCCTCATACATACTATAGATCAACAGTAGAATAACTTACGCAATGTTTGGTACAGCTTCCTCATACATACTATAGATGAACAGTAGAATAACTTACGCAATGTTTGGTACAGCTTCCTCATACATACTATAGATCAACAGTAGAATAACTTACGCAATGTTTGGTACAGCTTTCCTCATACATACTATAGATCAACAGTAGAATAACTTACGCAATGTTTGGTACAGCTTCCTCATACATACTATAGATCAACAGTAGAATAACTTACGCAATGTTTGGTACAGCTTCCTCATACATACTATAGATGAACAGTAGAATAACTTACGCAATGTTTGGTACAGCTTCCTCCATACATACTATAGATCAACAGTAGAATAACTTACGCAATGTTTGGTACAGCTTCCTCATACATACTATAGATCAACAGTAGAATAACTTACGCAATGTTTGGTACAGCTTCCTCATACATACTATAGATCAACAGTAGAATAACTTACGCAATGTTTGGTACAGCTTCCTCATACATACTATAGATGAACAGTAGAATAACTTACGCAATGTTTGGTACAGCTTCCTCATACATACTATAGATCAACAGTAGAATAACTTACGCAATGTTTGGTACAGCTTCCTCATACATACTATATATCAACAGTAGAATAACTTACGCAATGTTTGGTACAGCTTCCTCATACATTACTATAGATCAACAGTAGAATAACTTACGCAATGTTTGTACAGCTTCCTCATACATACTATAGAATCAACAGTAGAATAACTTACGCAATGTTTGGTACAGCTTCCTCATATATACTATAGATGAACAGTAGAATAACTTACGCAATGTTTGGTACAGCTTCCTCATACATACTATATATCAACAGTAGAATAACTTACGCAATGTTTGGTACAGCTTCCTCATACACCATGTCTTCCCATCTCTTCATGTGAGATTGAACTCTAAACCTTCGCATAACTTGTTCCCGGATCTATACACAATAAAAACAACATGAATAAAACATAAATCTACAACAATAAATACTAGTACAAATTCTAGAATATCTTTTTTAATTACCAGTGTTCTTATTTCCCTTGAAAAAAGTTAATAAAAGACCTGATATGGTGAAGTGGTTAGGGTCAAGGACTACCAATCATTTACACCTCATTATTGAGGATTAAAAATCCCACAAAAAGTTGAAGTCTTTCATGTGAAGATATCCAGCTTGTTCAAACAAGGTTGGAGGTTCTTCTTGGGATTCTGCTGCTAGCTTGTACATGAAAAAACTTATGAAGGGATACATGTGTTTTTTTCTGCACATGTAAAGCTTAAATGTCCCAATATAACTTGGTGTTTTTACTATAAAGACTTACCCTCTGTCGGAACCTTTTTACAGCAGCTCTGTGAGATTCTATATCTTCCATCTGACGTAACTTCTGCTCTTCTCTTTTCTTTCTTTCATAATCCTAGCAAAAATCAGAATAATACAGTATATATAATTACGTACTTTTGATTTTCTCCATTTTCTTAAACACATATTTCTAAACCTGATGCAAGAGAAAAGCCTGGACTTTTTTCTATGACATAAATATGTTATAAAATGGACAAAATTTTTTTTCCTAAGTATTCAATCAAATCAAGGCCACACTAAAGTTTTCTAACCTGAACAAAACCAAATATACATCATATAAAATAAGTTGAAAATTTTCAAATATCAGAGTGAATATATAACTAGAACTGTGTCCAAATGACACGGATGCCCCCACTGACAACATATATATGGTATATAGTGAAACTAGAACTGTGTCCAAAGGACACGGATGCCCCCACTGACAACATATATATGGTATATAGTGAAAAAATCAACAAAGGGCCATAATTCTGTTAAATTTGGTCGCAGCAAAAATTCCTTCCTTTACTACCATCTACACATTAAGGTTGTTCATCCCTGGAAGTTTAAGCAAAATCTGCCATCCGGTTTAAGAGGAGTTGCGTTCACAAAATTTCTATATGGTATATGGTGAAAAAATCAACAAAGGGCCATAATTCTGTTAAATTTGGTCGCAGCAAAAATTCCTTCCTTTACTACCATCTACACATTAAGGTTGTTCATCCCTCGAAGATTAAGCAAAATCTGCCATCCGGTTTAAGAGGAGTTGCGTTCACAAAATTTCTATATGGTATATGGTGAAAAAGTCAACAAAGGGCCATAATTCTGTTAAATTTGGTCGCAGCAAAAATTCCTTCCTTTACTACCATCTACACATTAAGGTTGATCATCCCTGTAAGTTTAAGCAAAATCTGCCATCTGGTTTAAGAGGAGTTGCGTTCACAAAATTTCTATATGGTATATAGTGAAAAAATCAACAAAGGGCCATAATTTAGTTAAATTTGGTCGCAGCAAAAATTCCTCCTTTACTACCATCTACACATTAAGGTTGATCATCCCTGAAAGTTTAAGCAAAATCTTGCCATCCGGTTTAAGAGGAGTTGCGTTCACAAAATTTCTATATGGTATATAGTGAAAAAATCAACAAAGGGCCATAATTCTGTTAAATTTGGTCGCAGCAAAAATTCCTTCCTTTACTACCATCTACACATTAAGGTTGTTCATCCCTGGAAGTTTAAGCAAAATCTGCCATCCGGTTTTAGAGGAGTTGCATTCACAAAATTTCTATATGGTATATAGTAAAAAAAATCAACAAAGGGCCATTATTCACTTTAATTTGGTCGCAGCAAAAATTTCTTCCTTTACTACCATCTACACATTAAGGTTGATCATCCCTGAAAGTTTAAGCAAAATCTGCCATCGGGTTTAAGAGGAGTTGCGTTCACAAAATTTCTATATGGTATATAGTGAAAAAATCAACAAAGGGCCATAATTCTGTTAAATTTAGTCGCCAGCAAAAATTCCTTCCTTTACTACCATCTACACATTAAGGTTGATCATCCCTGGAAGTTTAAGCAAAATCTGCCATCCGGTTTAAGAGGAGTTGCGTTCACAAAATTTCTATATGGTCTATGGTGAAAAAATCAACAAAGGGCCATAATTCTGTTAAATTTGATCGCAGCAAAAATTCCTTCCTTTACTACCATCTACACATTAAGGTTGATCATCCCTGTAAGTTTAAGCAAAATCTGCCATCCGGTTTAAGAGGAGTTGCGTTCACAAGATTTCGGGACGTACGGACGGACGGACGTACGTACGGACGGACAGTCGGACGGACAAGTGCAACGCTATATGCTCCCACTCTGTGGGGGCATAAAAATCAACAAAGGGCCATAATTCTGTTAAATTTGGTCGCAGCAAAAATTCCTTCCTTTACTACCATCTACACATTAAGGTTATTCATCCCAGGAAGTTTAAGCAAAATCTGCCAACAAGTTTAAGAGGAGTTGCGTTCACAAAATTTCTATATGGTATATAGTGAAAAAATCAACAAAGGGCCATAATTCTGTTAAATTTGGTCGCAGCAAAAATTCCTTCCTTTACTACCATCTACACATTAAGGTTGTTCATCCTTGGAAGTTTAAGCAAAATCTGCCATCCGGTTTAAGAGGAGTTGCATTCACAAAATTTCTATATGGTATATAGTGAAAAAATCAACAAAGGGCCATAATTCTGTTAAATTTTGTCGCAGCAAAAATTCCTTCCTTTACTACCATCTACACATTAAGGTTGTTCATCCCTGGAAGTTTAATCAAAATCTGCCATCCGGTTTAAGAGGAGTTGCGTTCACAAAATTTCTATATGGTATATAGTGAAAAAATCAACAAAGGGCCATAATTCTGTTAAATTTGGTCGCAGCAAAAATTCCTTCCTTTACTACCATCTACACATTAAGGTTGTTCATCCCTTGAAGTTTAAGCAAAATCTGCCATCCGGTTAAAGAGGAGTTGCGTTCACAAAATTTCTACATACAGTCCGACCCCGGTTATTCGACAACCCTTAATTCGAATACCCAGCATTATCCGAAGTAGATCGGCGGTCCCGTTTTTATCTCTATATAAAACAATATAAATACGAGCGTATTATTCGAAATGCATTATCCGAATACCTCCTATTTTTCGAAGTAAAATTTCGGTCCCGATTATACAATTAAGTAAGAATTTCACACCTATTATTTGAAGCCTGCCTAATTATTATTCGAAGCCAGACTAATTGGCGCAGATCCACTTGCTGACCGGTGGACTTGTAAAAAATATCCACAATTGTGCGTGTAATTAGACAATCATGATAATAACTCTTTGTGTGTTCTTTAATCAACTTTGATTACCGAAAATGAAAAGCTACGCACCGTGTCGGATTTTGTAACTGTTACTGCTTGAAGATGACAGCAATAATTTATATACATTCCGTACATGTGAATTTGTCAAAACATCCAAAACATTTTTTGTAACGCTACATGAGAGCCTTTATCCTAATCGAAAATACCAGAGTTTAGCAGTAAATATTGTAGTGACAACACGGCCATTATCAAGGCTTTGCGCAAAATGAAACGATACATAATGTAGAATAAAATACAAGTATTTATGTCTTCAAAGTCAATACAATAATTCTTTTCCTTAATATTAAGTTTTTCTCAATTGATTACAGGAAGTAAGTGTGTTGTAAACAGTAGTTTTGCGATGATTGGTCAAAGTGGAGTAGTTTTCGTCTATCACAATATTCCGATTTCGATTATTCGAACCCATCGATTATTCGAAGTAAATATTCAGTCCCAGGCACTTCGAATAAACGGGGTTGGACTGTAGTATATAGTGAAAAAATCAACAAAGGGCCATAATTCTGTTAAATTTGGTCACAGTGAAAATTCCTTCCTTTACTACCATCTACACATTAAGGTTGTTCATCCCTGGAAGTTTAAGCAAAATCTGCCTACCGGTATAAGAGGAGTTGTGTTCACAAGATTTCGGGACATACGGACAGACGGACGGACGGACAGACGTGCGGACGGATGGACAGACAAGTGCAACGCTATATGCTCCCACATTGTGGGGGCATAAAAATATATCTTTACAAAGAAAAGTCTTTTTTTCAAAAAAGAAAAAGACAGTATTCACACTCAACCTATTGAATTTTTGTAACACATTTGCTCTGCATTGAATTTGGATCAGTGTATTTGAACATACAGATTTCCATATTAGAATAGAAAAATTTAGCAAACCAATAGGCAACAGCATAAAGCCTGGATAGACTACACGGATATGTAGGCAAGCCTGCCTCTATACTGGTGACAAAAACTAGTCATATTTGGTTCCAGCATGTTAATGGTTCAAAAAGAACAAGAAACATGGCAATGCCATGAAACCAGGTTTTCAATTATCACCATTGTAGATAAATATGTTGTATTTGAAATACAAATACAAGCAACAAACAATGTAACTATGTGCAATGTAAAACATGAATAATGTAGGAGGAATTGCCACTGAAGAAGTTTTCACTATAATATTATGTATAAGGAAAAAAACAAAGGGCCATAATTAGGTCAAAAACTATCCAATCACAAAACCCCGACAATATGTGCCAGGGTGCTTGATGACAAAGCTTCTGTGAAAGTTTGAACAAAATCCGTTGAGAAATGTAGGACGAGTTCAGCACAGAAGAATTTGTTCACTATAATTATATTGATAATTCTGTATAAATGAAAAACAAGTTACAAAGTAGACATGAAATAATATATCATATCTTTTTTAAATTACCTCCAAAGATGATATGACCTTTGACTGCCAAATCAAGTTAAAATCATGTAAACAGGATTTCAATGTTAATGTCACTGTGACCTTGACCTTGGAGCCAGCCATGCGGAACATGCGTTCTGCACGTCATCTTGATGTGGTAAACATTTGTCTGAAGTTTCATCAAAATTCTTCAAAGGGTTGAAGAGTTACAGAGCGGACAGGATTTTCAATGTTAATGTCACTGTGACCTTGACCTTGGAGCCAGCCATGCGGAACATGCGTTCTGCACGTCATCTTGATGTGGTAAACATTTGTCTGAAGTTTCATCAAAATTCTTCAAAGGGTTGAAGAGTTACAGAGCGGACACAATTTCGTTTGACGCCCGCAACAGGATTTTCAATGTTAATGTCACTGTGACCTTGACCTTGGAGCCAGCCATGCGGAACATGCGTTCTGCACGTCATCTTGATGTGGTAAACATTTGTCTGAAGTTTCATCAAAATTCTTCAAAGGGTTGAAGAGTTACAGAGCGGACAGGATTTTCAATGTTAATGTCACTGTGACCTTGACCTTGGAGCCAGCCATGCGGAACATGCGTTCTGCACGTCATCTTGATGTGGTAAACATTTGTCTGAAGTTTCATCAAAATTCTTCAAAGGGTTGAAGAGTTACAGAGCGGACAGGATTTTCAATGTTAATGTCACTGTGACCTTGACCTTGGAGCCAGCCATGCGGAACATGCGTTCTGCACGTCATCTTGATGTGGTAAACATTTGTCTGAAGTTTCATCAAAATTCTTCAAAGGGTTGAAGAGTTACAGAGCGGACACAATTTCGTTTGACGCCCGCAACAGGATTTTCAATGTTAATATCACTGTGACCTTGACCTTGGAGCCAGCCATGCGGAACATGCGTTCTGCACGTCATCTTGATGTGGTAAACATTTGTCTGAAGTTTCATCAAAATTCTTCAAAGGGTTGAAAGAGTTACAGAGCGGACAGGATTTTCAATGTTAATGTCACTGTGACCTTGACCTTGGAGCCAGCCATGCGGAACATGCGTTCTGCACGTCATCTTGATGTGGTAAACATTTGTCTGAAGTTTCATCAAAAATTCTTCAAAGGGTTGAAGAGTTACAGAGCGGACACAATTTCGTTTGACGCCCGCCCATCCGCCCATCCGCCCAGCGCCCATCCGCCCAGCCGCCCAGCCGCCCATCCGCCCATCCGCCCGCCATACCCCAATCTAATAACCAGGATTTTCAAAATTGAAAACCTGGTTAATAAGATACATACTGTAAAAGTATCTCTAGGTATTTCTCGATCATATGCTGGCACCATCTTATAATTTCTAAACTCTTGAACTTCTTCATCTCGTAACTGTAGCAACTGAAACCTTCTATTCATTACAAGTTCATCATATGTGACAAAGTCAAACTCTTCCATCAGCTGCTCTAACCGGAAATATTCAGTCGGTGATAGTAATGCCGAGTCCCCTGATTTACCCTGTAACAGTACAAAAGTTTTAGTAAGTATTTGATTATAGCATCTTTATAAAACAATCTTGACAAGAGCCATGTCAACATGGCCATCCCTCGCCGAATGTGTTTGCTCATTGGAAGAATGTATATGTAGTAGAGCAGAATAATTCAATTTTAAGAGATCTTTTTGTAGGCTGAAGTGATTACAGATTTGAAACCTATGTGAATACTGATGGCTGAAAAAAACAAAGGGCAATGACTGAAAAATAATGCAGGGTAGGTTATAATTCTTGTGTGCTGCACTCCTCCTCAATGAGATCTATCCACCTATGAAGTTTCATGTTGATATCTCAAAGGCTTTTTTAGTAATGTTCTGGACAAAAATTAAGCATGAAAAATAACAAAGGACAATAACTGAAAAATAATGCAGGGTAGGTTATCATTCTTATGTGCTGCACTCCTCCTCAATGAGATCTATCCACCTATGAAGTTTCATGTTGATATCTCGTAAGCTTTTTGAGTTATGCTCTGGACAAAATGCATGAAAAATAACAAAGGGCAATGACTCAAAAATTATTATGAGAATAGTTATCATTCTTGTGCACACCATTCCTCCTCAATATGATCTATCCACCTTTGAAGTTTTAAGTTGATATCTCAAATACTTTTTGAGATATGCTCTGGACAAAAATGTCGGATGGAAGGAGACTATTTCTATATCACCCGCCGCCTTTCGGCGAGGGATAAAAATCTATTCTGATTAAAGTTTCTTATAACCATATAATCTATATCAGTATTTCATATAAATAACAAACCTAGCCAAAATGCTGCCATACTTTTAAACTGAATATCATTTCATTGAGTAATAAATTCTACAGCATCGTCTATGTTTCATATATCAATAATGAAACCTTTTTAAAAAAGGTATATGAAAATAACCATATTTGTATGTGTTTTAAAAAACTATGGTAAAAGCTGAGAGAAAATGTATTATTAATATACCCTAAGAATATAAACGATATCAGCGTTGCTGGGATCATTTGGGTCAAGTCTCGAATTATGAAACCATTCAGCAAGTTTCTTTAAATCCATCACACCTGTTGCCCCAATTGCTGCAAGAGGATCCATCTTCTTCATGTGACTAGAAATATACATAGAGAATATTGAATGAGTGTAGATTCAATACTGAATTAATTAAACAAAATTTTATTATGCGAACCTTTGGCAAGCATGATATAATTTTATTCAATGAGTTCATTAAATTTAGTTTATACTTGCATGCAGGGCCATTGTCGATGGTCCGGTCGATTGGGCCTTGGCCGGACCAATATTTTAGCCAAATATGTCTGGTCATTAGCGGAAAAAAACAACTACAAAATAACAACAAACATCAAAAACAAAAGCGCGCGTCACTGATAAGCAATTTGACACTTAACTGGCCCCTTATGCAAGGCACGGTAATTGATTAAATTTAACTGCTGTTCACATAGAAGTATTTAATACAAAAAGTTTAACATATTATGATATCATGACCTGTGACACAGTTCCATCGGAACCAAACCAACCAAAATTATTTTTGTTTTCAAAACAAATGACGGCAATATGTTTTTGGCTAATTCAGATAAAATCACTCTGGTCAAATGATTATTAAGCTTAAACCATTGTGATACTACTGTTTTTGTATGTAATATTTCTCGTATTTGTATATTTATAATTATCAGATTAAAATGAAGAATTATAACAACATCAATTGTTTATTTTTCATTTGTCAAATATCAATTATTCATGTTATGTACAAATGTCCGTCCGTTATGCGATTGGTAGTCAACACTTCAAACGCACAGATCTTTATAAACAAGAGGGCCATGATGGCCCTGAGGTCGCTCACCTGTATTTAGGCCCCCGGAGCAGGGCTAATTTAAACCCCAGGGCTTTTATTTGAACAACCTTGGAAGACACTCATTAGAAGATGTTTCATGATGTTAAGTTTTTACTACACACATATAATGAAAAACAATGACCTCCCCCCCCCCCTTTGGCAGGGCCAATTTTAACCCAAGGGCTTTTATTTGAACAAACTTGGTAGACACCCACAAAAAGATGTTTCCTGCAATCTAACCTCTAGCTCATTGGGTTTTTTAAAAGAAGATTTTTTAAGTTTTTACTATACACATATAGTTAAAAACAATGACACCTCTGGGGCGGGGCCAGTTTTAGCCCCAGGGCTGTTATTTGAACAAACTTTGTAGACACTTACTAGAAGATGTTTCATGCTTAATATCTAAACTCTAGCTATTTGGGTTTTTTCAAAGAAGATTTTTAAGTTTTTGCCATACACAAATAAGGAAAATCAATGACCCCCAGGGCGGGGCCAATTTTGACCCCAGGGCTTTTATTTGAACAAACTTTGTAGACACTCACTAGAAGATGTTTCATGCTTAATATCTACACTCTAGCTATTTGGGTTTTTTCAAAGAAGATTTTTTAAGTTTTTGCTATACACATATAAGGAAAATCAATGACCCCCGGGGACGGGCCAATTTTGACCCCAGGGCTTTTATTTGAACAAACTTTGTAGAACACCCATTAGCACATGTTTCATGCTAAATATCTTAGCTCTAGCTCTTTGGGTTCTTTAAAAGAAGATTTTTTAAGTTTTTACTATATGCATATAGGGAAAATCAATGACCCCCGGGGCGGGGCCAATTTTGACCCCAGGGCTTTTATTTGAACAAACTTGGTAGACACTTACTAGATGGTGTTTCATGCTAAATATCTTAGCTCTAGCTCCATGGGTTCTTTAAAAGAAGATTTTTTAAGTTTTTACTATATATATATAGGGAAAATCAATGACCCCCTGGGGCGGGGCCAATTTTGACCCCAGGGCTTTTATTTGAACAAACTTGGTAGACACTTACTAGAAGATGTTTCATGCCAAATATCTTAGCTCTAGCTCTTTGGGTTTTTTAAAAGAAGATATTTAAAGTTTTTTCTTTCGGTTGCCATGGCAACCAGAGTTCTGCATGGAATTAAATTCTTTGAACAATTTTTAAAGGTGACCACCAAAGGAACATTCCTGTGAAGTTTGGTTGAAATTGGCTTAGTGGTTTATGAGGAGATGTCATCTAAAGTAAAAGTTTACGGACGGCCGGACGCCGGACGAAAAGCGATCACAAAAGCTCACCCTGTCACTTTGTGACAGGTGAGCTAAAAATAAGTGACACATGCCAAAATAATATGTACTAGCGGAAGACTGTAAACTGTGCCAAATATAGGGGAAAACACTCCTGAGAGCATCCTAGAATAAAAAATTTCATGGGGAGCATGGTTCACCTCTAGAACCACTATTTGCTGCATGAATCACAAAATCGTGACAACGGGCCTGGCATGGCATCCCTTACATTGACAGCTTTTAAAATATCACCAATAATTGTACAAGATATTTTAGGCAGTACAACATTAACTCAAGAAACAAAACTTAACCATAATTATCTTACTTAAACATGCTGGTAATATTTGATGTGGCAGCAGCAGGTACGAGGGCACGGCCATGTTCATCCACTGCCCAAGCTATACTAAACGTTAGCACACCAGTTGTCATCAAGGTCAATAACTCCTCACCTCCTTTCCCAAATGTAAACGGCAAACCTTAAATATAGATAATAAACAATATCACTATTATCCTTCAATCACAACCACAAAGCTATCATAATTTCATCAACACTTTAATCACTTTCTTTCCTAACATACTTGCAGAATTGTATTATCTTTTCCTAAAATTTCAGTTTATTTAGATCTGTCCATTGTATAATATCTAACTTTAAATCCTTAACATGGTGGAACTAAAAATGACCAACCTTTGACTTTAGAACAGTGAAAGGCCATCCTGCACATACAGTCTAACCACATCCCATACTGTTTACAGCTTTATTTTTTCTGCATGGATATGTAGTCTGTCTATGTTTTATACTGGTGGAAAACACTGATCAATATCAGTTCCCAACTTTCAACATGTTTATTTTGCCGAGGACTTATTTTTTATTATACAGAAGCACATTATAAATTAACTTACCGCTGCCAACTCCTTCATGACTGTGATTAATTCTGTGATCACTGCTGAACTCTAGATCCTCTAATTGTACTGATAGTGAAGTGACGCTCGTGTCTGGTATAGGGGCACATAACTCTGCCATCAGACTACTGCTTAAACCTACAGTTTCATACACCTACAAATGGGATACAACATCAATAAAACATATAGGTGTATAAAATTGTATGTAACAAAGCTAGACAAAATGAAATATTAGAGTCATTTATATGTAAGCATTTTACTGGATGTAGCAGAAGCTGTAAAGACATTTTAATCTGATACAAATATTTAAGGAAAAAACTGAAACTGACCAGATATATCTCGCAACTGCTTTTTATAGACATGCAAGAACTTCATTTTGCTTAAACTTACAATAAATCACTTGTCAAATGTTGGAAAAACCTTTACTTAACAATTTGAGGATGCTGTTAAAGAGCTAATTAAGTAATACAGTTGGCCCTGTTACTATAAGATTTTAAATGGCCAAGTGGTTAACATGTCAGACAAATAATGGAAGGATCAATATCCGTATGAGTTCAAATCCCGTTAGGGTCGAGCTGTGGTTTTCTTGAGCAAGAACATTAACACTCATTGCTCAGTACTGCTTGGTTCCTGGAACGGATTCAAGAGTTTGTCTATAAGCAACTAAAATAAAATCTGTAAAAACCAAGACTTTAAGAATGATCAGTATTACCTGAAAAGCTATACTTTCTGGCCATTGTAGAATCTTCATATTGTAAATTTGACCATAATTCACCTTGAAATCCTGGGTCAAAGGTCTGTAATCAGATAAATTATCATACAATTATACAAATAAATAAATTAATGCCTTGTTATTCATCATACTTCATGTTGATCACGATGAATGCTGACAATTTCAATTTAAATTCAAAATTGTTCAAAGAAGACATACAAAGGTTATTTATCGTGAAAACTCCTGAATTCAGACTGATTTAATCTATTTTAAGAATCTATAATTAGTTATTATTTAAGGCAGATGATAACTAATTTAGGATAAAATTTGATTGGCTTGTTCCAATGTTAAATTAATGAGGAGCCAATACTAACCAAAATAGTGATTAGAGCTATTGAAGTCAATCTGTTGACCAAATGAGATACGTGTAATTTGATCTAGAGATCTGACTGAGTATTAGACAATATCATAATACAATGTAATTGATTTGAATCACATTATAGACAGTTAAAAAATAATTACTCATAATAAAAACACATAAATTGGTAAATAATAACTTATAGCTTCTGTCTTGAACAAACTTTACCTTCAAACTCAAATATTTACTATCATAAGATGACTAAATGTTTTTACTCATTTTGCTTCATATTTCAAACAGGAAAAAGACACTTACTTGGAATTAGTCCTTGACACTTCTTTATTGTTGAACAAAATTTTCACAAACACTTTACATTTAGATACATCATCCCTTCTCCTCTGTTCTCCACTGAAATAAAATTCAACATAATTCATTTACACATTTATACAAATCATTTGAACATCATAATAAAACAAGTTGTCAACTAGAGTCAAACTTTCAATGATCTATTTATTATCGCTCTTTTGATATCTTTATATTCTACTCAAGAGAATAGATGTAAATCGAGTCTAAGACACCCTGACCACTGTATGGAGAACTACTATTTCATATGGCCACCTTCTAGAATAGGCAAGCATCTCAAAATTAACACTGGCTTTCACAAAGATAGCTGGCTAATCTCCTCATTTCACAAGTGGAATTTGAAACCATAGCAATGAAGAGAGTGAGTATGAAGAGCCCAACCTTACTCTGCCACCATAATAAATAAAGACAGCTTGTAACCTCACTTTTTCATCATATTCTATTATTAAATCAGTGAAGCTTGTGAAAATCTAAGTTTCTATGTAAAACATTATTTTTGCTATCATTTTATGTTTATGTTCTAAATAAATATTATTCAAAGTGTATAAAGCTATATTTCTGCTGCCTGCAGTTTACAATATTTTTGTTTGAATTTTGAAATCAAATAATTCTAAATTGCCTGTATAAAAGAAATTATGTATGTGCATATGATTTCTTTATGAGCAAATAGTGCAAGCTGCAAACCATTTCTATATGGGTAAAACCCTACTTAGCAGCATAATATTTTGTTCCAGAAAACTTTATTCTGTTTACATTTTTTTACAGTATTTATATGTGTTAAATAAAAAACAACATTCTATTAAACACCTCTTTCGTTAATTGACCATTAGATTAGGGAAAAACATAATTTCACAGATTTTATAACAAAAAATTCATTACATATAACTTTATACTCTTTTAAGCTGTGATAAAATAACAAAATCTTTTCCATGTACCTGGGACATTCTGTTGTTGGTGTTATTGAAGCAGTGTTAGATAATTCAAGATCTAGTTTGGGTTCACCAGGTCTCCGTCTACTCTCTAATGCCTTTGCCTTCACCTTTTCTCTGACAGTATTTTCATCAAATTGTTCCGGAAGTTCCGGTTGAGTTAGGTCGGCCTCGTCTAAAGTTTCCTGGTCTTTTCTCTGAGCTTCCTGGAATAAAAACACCATCGTAAATAAATAACAATTCTGTTCTGTGAGCAGGAAACTAAATAACATATCAATGAAAATGTTGCAATTTCTGTAAATAACACAATGAATAAATATTATTCGAGGAGTTTATTATTCAGATGATTTTACAGTAAGTTTACATCTAAAATTTTGTTTATATGCAAAAGTTAGTGTCAAAGATGTACATCTCAAACCTTATGCACAAAATCAATTTTATCCATCTGCTTTTTGGTCAGTTGCAGATTTTTTAGCAGTAGATGACATTGTTGTTTATGACATTGTTTAACCCCTTACCTCATATAGACGTGTTTTGACCACTTTTCACCCCCCTCAAACAGTGAAAAAATGCCCTATTTTGGCCCCAAACACTGTTTTTCATTTGAGATATGTTGATAAAAAAAGTGACCATTTTTTAGGCACGCCCCCCCCCCCCCCCCCCATCAAAAAGGTATATCAGGGGGTTGGCAGATTGGGGATCTGCCCCTTCTATTTTGGGGGTTTGAAGGGGGCAGGTGCCCTCCTCATCGCCAAGAAAGTTTTGGACATGTGACAGGCTAAAGAAATGGCCTCATGTCAATCATAAGGTAACCTGTAACCAACGCTGAAAAGCCATTTACTCTTTCTCAATCTATTGAGAAGTTGCAGTTCTTTGAAATCAGTTTTGATGGAAAAAAACAATGCAAAATAGTTATTTTTGGCAATTTTGAGATGTCCCCCGTTGCCAATGTTACAGGAAATTTAAGATTGAGCATGCTGTTACAGAGGCTATGGTCTAGTCAACATTTGTGCCAAGTTTCATCAGTATTGAAGCATTTTTCATAGTTTCATAGCAGTTTGAACTTGTGACAGGAGGCTTTTCCTTATTTGTTTTTGTCACATTAAGCAATATACAGTAGAACTTCGGTAAGTTGAAGTTGAAAGAACTGGCGTAAAAACTTCGACACATCGGGACTTTGACTCATGAATAGGTCTCAATTGATGACAAAATTTCGAGCCGTTTATGTATACAAGCAAGTTACAAAAGGCGTAACAAAAGGAAAGGGAGATAACTGACCCAGCTTATAGTAAATATATCCCCGTGTGATTATCACGTGACACCGGGTCACTGAAGTTCTCAAATGAAAGTCGTTCTTATTGTTTACCTTCAAATACCACTACAGAAATTTGAATGGTAACAATTAAAGCACTTTATCACACATTTAAATGCAAACAAAGGCTGTTAGAAAGCAAGGCTATGTAATTAACACCTGTCACACAAATTGATCGGAAATCATCTTCGCGTCTAGAAAAGGTGTGAAAAAAGTCTTGAGATCGAAGTTGTCAAAATAATTGAAGGACTTTGACTTATTTGTGATAAATAGTACTTGATTTATTCTATACAGACCTCTAAAAAAGTTCGACACATCGAAAAATTCGACACATAAAATTTTGACTCATATATAGGTTTTTATAAGGAATATATAGGGGAAAAAAATCGAGACTTCATTTTACTTCGACACATCGAGAAAATCGACTTATCGAAGTTCGACACATAGAAGTTCTACTGTACTTGTTAACAAGAATTGTCGGAGGGCAGTAACACTCGACTATTCGAAAAGTTGTCACAAATGTGTTTCATTGAGTATAATAATGCTTACCTATATGAATACATAAAATTGTCTGAAAAGGTACAAAGGCTTGTTATTAAGATGTTTTATCGAGTTAATCACTATTTTATTATTATGAATGCATAAAGTTGTTCCAAAAAAGGCACAAACCCTTCAGTAGTTATGGAGATATTTGCTTACATGCAAAAACTTAACCAAGAATTTCTAAGTAGAAAGAGGGGCATAATTATGCTAAAAAGCAAATCAGAGTTATAGGACTTGTGCCAATCATGTAAGATAATCACAGAGAACAAGTGTGTGAAGTTTCAATCCATTCCCTTCAGTAGTTATGGAGATACCAGCTTGCACACAAAAACTTAACCAAGAATTTCTAAGTCGAAAAAGGGGCATAATTATGCAAAAAAGCAAACAGAGTTATGGGACTTGTGCCAATCATGTTAGATAATCACAAAGAACAAGTGTGTGAAGTTTCAATGCATTCCCTTCAGTAGTTATGGAGATACCAGCTTGCACGCAAAAACTTAACCACAGGGACGCCGACGCCGACAAATGGGTGACTGCATTAGCTCGATTATTCTGCGAATAGTCGAGCTAAAAATATTTCAAAGGAAAAAAAACAACTAGACTCAACCCACCTCATTGTAGTCCTCTAGTCCTGACCCACCCGATAGGGCACTGGCACTACTTTGCCTTGATCCCTTTCTACCTCTTAATTTCCTTAACCTCTTCTCAGCATCTTTCTGTTTTAATAAAGAATAGAAAAAATATAACCTTTTCTAATATATTCAACACTACAAAATCAAATGAAGAACATCACTGTTAATATTAATTGCGAATTGTAAATACATGTTAATATGTGCAATCTATATACCTCATGCAGTTTAAACTTTAAGATCCATAAATCTCGTGCAGGATGAATTTTGAAATCTACAGAGCTAAAAATTTACCCACTGAACCAGTCAGGCAGACACATTATCAAATGATATATGATTCAATGAGATTTACCTTGGCTTGCTGTTGTTTTTGATATTTGGTAATGTCCTCCTCATAAGATAACATTTTATGTTTGTAATCTCTCTCATGCTCATCTCTTAATTCTTCCACCTCTTCCTCAAGTTCTAGTTTCCACACAGCCTGATCCTGTGTCTTGTCCACCTCTTGTCTGTAATGTATAAGACATAACAAATATATTGTAATATAAGTGTCAATGTGATATAACATTACATATACAATGTCTAGAATTCTTTTTTGTTCATGTTTATACTTTAACTATGAGAGTATTGTGAAAGTTTATATTTAGAGCCGCACCATGACAAAACCAACATAATGTGTCTGCGACCAGCATGGATCCAGACCAGCCTGCGCTTCCACACAGTCTGATCAGGATCCATGCTGGTCGCTATCAGTTTCTCTACTTGTTAAAGGGTTTGTAAGCAAACAGCATGGATCCTGATCAGAATTTGCGGATGCGCAGGCTGGTGTTAGTAATATTGCATCTGAAAAAACAACAACAAAAAAAACTAAGACAAAACAACAAAAGAGAATATAAGTAAACACTTACTTTCTTATCTGCAGTTTGACAGGTGTGTTAGTGAATCTCTGAAGGTCTCTCTGGGCTCTAATTTCCTTCCATGTATGTATGATATTCTTTAATAAATTCCTGTCCGACTTCTCTTCTCTATCACGCTGTAATCTTGCCTGTCTATTTTACAATACAAAGTCATTATTTTATATAAGTCAATTTTGTTACACAGTAAAATATATTGATGTAAAAAAAAATGGCGGAAATGTATCATATTGAATATACATGAACCTGCTGAATTAGTGCAAAGGATTAATTCTTTGAATTTGGAACAGTTCATTTAAATTTTAAGATATTTCTTTAAATTAAGGGGCCATCAACATAGAGCCAAGTCAAGTAGCAAAACTGTTAAGTAAAATAAGGCAACAAAATATCCCAGTCATCACTTTGAGTGTAATTACTTTTGCCAGATTTTTCAGATTTCAAATTTTACTCATTCACAAAATAATCAATAAGTAAATACTCATTGCACTAAAAACTTATCTGGAGCCGTGTTGTATATTTAGAACATTTACCTGATTTCTGTCTTGTATTCTTGAAGTCTTCTTTCATAGTTAGATCTGTCAGTCAGGGTATGTTCACTCTAAAATAACAGACAAAATCAGAATTTATTAAATAGTTACAAAATTGTTGCTCATTGACACAAATACGTAATTGTCGAAATTTGGTTTTTGATACAATGCGCAGAAGAAACACTTAAAAATTCAATATGTTAAAGAAAATAAAAAGAAATACAACCCCACCCCCACATAAATTTTTTTCTACATGCAACTATGAAAATAAGACTTGATGGTTATTTTGGCAGGTTCAGTGTTTAATTCATTCTATCCCTAGTACTGACATTTTCAAACTTCATAGTTACAGTACCTTTAAATTAAATTTGTAAGTACAAAATGGATACAGCAATAAACATTAACAGCTTTTCATACATACATAAAATACTTTTAAAACAATTGCAAGTGAGCTACATTTAGTATGTGCAAATTAAAATTTCTTAGGCTCACAAAAATTTGCAAGTGATGAGAAAAAGTTAAACTTTTTTTTTTTTTTTTGGTCTTACGTCACATCGACACAGTATAGGTCATATCGCGATATTCCAGCCTTACTGGTGGAGGAAGACCTCAGGTGCCCACCCGTGCATTATTTCAGGCACGAACGGGCACTTGAGTAGAATCACCGATGTTCCTTAAGCTAGAAAGTTAAACTTAAGCCCAAGAAAAAAGTGGAATCAACAGAATAATACATATGTTAGCAGTGACTGTACCACTTTGTAATTTTGATGTCTAGAAATTGACAACAACGACTATTGGCCTCAGCAGTTTATTCCTATATATTAAAACAACAAAGTGTAAAGTTACTAATGAAATCAGATAAAATATATAAGACTTGATCTTATTCTAAAGATAACTTGAGAAACAAGGAGAAATAATTACCCTATGAGCTGCTATATGATCTTGTAGATGTAATGCAGAATCCTTTAATGCCCTCAGCTGTAATATGAAAATATATATATTGTCATTAAGCATTGTATATTAAAATATATTTTCGTTCTTTTTCTATGTTATAGTTAGACGCTAATAAGAACAAATTAAACAGCTGAAAATATGTAGAAGAAACTGTAGCTGTTTAAGATGTTTGATTTTTTTATGTCTAACTTAGTCGCAGACCTACTTTTTGTAGGCACTCATAGTATATTTTTTTAGATAGACAAAACTTTTAAATGAATATTATTAAAGTCATTTTAATGATATTATGCAAAATAGACTGTAAGAAATTTTCAAATTTAGGCTTTCTCATTTGACAAAAAAGTAAAACAAAAGCTATCAAATTATTCACACTAACATAACAAATTATTCACACTAACATGCCTCACTTTTATAAAGGACTTGCCCTACATATTCTAATGATATCAGAGTCTTAAAAAATATAGACAAAAGAAACCTTGTCGTATTAAAGCAAAGACTTAAAGTCACATAACTTGATCAACCAGTTCAAGCATATATCGCAACTAGCAAACACTCACCTTCTGACCCAAATACTCTGTCATATTTTTCTTTTGTCGTATGACATACTGTTGATACATCTGAGTGAGTTTCTGTGCAAGGACATGTTCTCTACTGTATAAATGATGGTGGGAGAAACATATCTGGTTAATATCAACATCAAGTTGATACTGTCCTCCGCCCTCTGTCGTACCGTCTATATATCGGTTGTCAAACTCTCTCATTATTGCCTGCAATACACATCATATTTTTCTTTACATTTCCAAAGACATTTTACTTTTAATATTTTTTGGTTGCTTTTCAAATTTGGCCAACTTTAACTGGGATGCCACTTCAGGCATTTTTCCAAGCATATTCTGTTACAGAGGCTATCTGGATACTTGCTCCTTGCAAAAGATCAATTTCAAAGTAATACTGACCTATTTTCTGCGGAAAAGACGTGTAAGTAAAATGTTGAAGCCCATATGTTTTGGAGTAAGAACATGTACTAAAAAATTTCATTCTGTCGCACTAAAAATGCTGAAAACCTTAAAAATGTCCTGAGCTTTATGTATCTTAACAACATAATCTGTTGAGAACCTTACTAAGACAAGGATCTTCAAAAGACTTTTTCCAAGGGCCAGGGTAACATTGTTTCTATTTCAACCAAGCAATATTTAACAAAAATAGACTTTAAATTAAAAATGAAGAAATTTAGAAGGCAATGCTTACAATACATTTTAAGAGATGAAACAATTGCTGGCATTCAAATAAATAAAGTTATTATTCTGGATAATAATTTGTTTAAAATGTTTCATTATATAATGTAAAAATGTTGTCTACCTTCTTATAGACAGTCTGTAGATATGGTTCCACCTCTTCTGTTACTGGAGGTCTAGAGGGCATAACCTTTAATGGATCTGGTAATGCCAGCAGTTTACCATCCTCACCAAACCATTTCTTAGCTGATTCATGTCCCTATAAATAGACAATGTTTGCTGTATTATTCATTAAAATTTGCAAATAATGTGATCAAATTGATATAAAAAAAAAAAGAGTTTATAAAAAAAGTGTCACTTTTTGCTATCTGTTATAATGATGAAATTAAAATTCTATAAATAACAGATTTACTGAATATTATTAAAAATTACTATCAATATCAATTATTATCAATAACACACCTGAAATAATTTCATATAAACTTAAAGGCACATTAATTGACAACAAATGCCTTAAAACATAATGTATTTAGAGAGTTTTAATGTTTTATCATCTGCAATATTTCTCATACAAACAGAAGGCTGACTTATACATTATCCAACAAAACAATATAACTTGCATATGTGAGACCTTAGTAATCAATATCTTTACATGTCATGATGTCAATTCAATATATACCATGACATTACTTTTGTACCAGCATGATAAAAGAATTCACACTTTTATTACACATTTTTAACATCTTAATGTTAGAACCAAAATAAATATTACCTGTAACACATATTTTATCAGTGATTAAAAGATTAAAATATGTATGTGAAAGATAAAACAACTTATTATTCCCGGAAGTAAATTGAATTATTTCCTTGTCATTGCTCAAAGTAAATTTCAATGACTGATAAAATATATATATCAATCATAAGTGTTTTTTAAACTAATATATGTATAAAATTTGTGTACCTTTTCACCCTCTTTTAGAAGCCTGTGTTCCATTCTGTTTTGGTTCCAGCCTGAGGTTGAAGGCCGGGTACCGACGTAGAATCCTTCTTCCTCCAAACGCCTCACTTCCATCTCCTTCGCAACTTTATCTGTTGCCGGAACTTTATAAGACAAACAAACATTCTTACAAATAACAAGATGTGTCACATATGATGTTGAAAAGTTAACTGACAAAAGTAATTGTTCAACTGAAGAAAGAAAGGTCTTAACAAAGTACTTACAGGGTATTAATTGAGCAATATCTACTGAAATATTTTTACAAAATTTATAATTCTTTCAATAATCTTATGGTTGAATCTCACATATTGTAACCTAGAATGTCTCCATTATTTATAACACATAAATATTGTATGTTAAGTCGTAAACATAATAAATTGTTCCAGAACAAAATATTACGCTGCTATTTCAGATAGGGTTTTAACCATTTAGCAACAATTTCAATATTTTCACAATATAAAATTTTAGACAATTAACACTCACTTTCTGCACTAGATGGATAGAAATAGATCAAATCTTCTTTTCGAACCACCTCATCTGGGTCAGGGTATTCAGCTTTAGACATTACAGTGAGAGCGTACCCAATATCTTCCTCCTCATCTTGTGGAATCAATGGCTGTTCATCTTCAGATTTACCAGGTTTTGGTTCACCTTCACCCTGAAAAAACAAAAGCTCTTATCTCAGTGATATATACAACAAAACTAGATATGTGACCATACGACACTGATGCCGCTACAGAAAGACAGCATGACAGACAGATTGAAACATGCAAATCTAAAAACTGTCTCCACCCTAGGTAGTGGCACAATAAAAAAAATAACGGAGAAAATGACAAACTAGTATTTTGACTCTTATTGAATTGCACTCTAGCTATGTCTAGTATTCCACTACAAAATTTTTTAACTCGATAATCCTTTTTTACCACTGTTTATCCTTATTTTTTTCTTAAGTTTGTTTGATAACCTGAACAGAGAGAGAGAGAGAGTTAATTAAGTCTACAAACCTCGGATGTGTGAATACTAGACAACACATACATGTATGTTTTTAAATGACAATTTGTAGACCACAAAATGTCAAATGCCATTAAATATGTCAATATCAATGTTTCAAGTGAAACACGAGTTAAAGTTACTAGTTACCTGAGAAAAGAACAGGACAGTACTGGCACAAAATCCAAGAGAACTTGAAAGGTAACAGTAGCACCAATAGATGACTGGAATACTGTCAAACCAGTGTAAACTAAAACACATCAAACAAAACAATTTCAACATTTTACCTCTTCTCCTTCTTTGGGCTCTTCTCCTTCTTTAGGTTCTTCACCTTCTTTAGGTTCTTCACCCTCCTCTTTTTCTTTCTTTTCAGTTTCAGCTTTTTCCACTGGTTCCTCCTCTTCTTCATCTTTAGGTTCTGGTTCCCACACTCGAGTAAAGAAATCAAATGCTTCCTCCGCAGACGGCATATAAATACCCTGAAAATTGGGGGGAAAATGAGCTCAAAATCAACAAATAAGAATAAAATATCATATTTTACCTGAGTCTTTTAATTGATTTTTTTTTCATAAAATTATAGACAGAAGTTTCTTCATAAACTTGTAAGAAAGAAAACAAACTTAAGTACAATCTCTGCGGCCCCTCTGTACAGAAATCACTTCTTTACATTTCTAAAGTTAGATTTTCCAATAAATTTAACCTCTCTAGAGCCACATCTCTCAGTAACAACCAAAAATCGTTTGTCTTCCAAATGTTGTTGCTATGCAGAGGTTATACTGTATTTTCAAATAATGATTGTTTTAAAAATATAAGTAACAATGAAATGGTGTCTCTTTTTTTAACTCTGCATATTTTGAGCCCTTTTCTCTTCTTAATAGCATGCTGATTTTTCTCTTCTTTCAAAAAAAAAAATTCTTCTCAAAATATTGAAAAAGAATTAAGGAAAAAAGTTAACTTGTGTCCTTAACCATGACAATTTTATAATCAAAGACCTTACCTCTTTTCTTGTAGCTGCTAGTTTCTTCTTCCTTTCTTCCCTCAGTTTTCTTTTTTCTTCTGTCATTCTCTCCAGTTCCTCTAAGTCCATCTTTAAATTCACAAAAATAATTCAATCATTCTATATCTATGCATGATATACATTTTACAGTCAATTTTCCTCAAGAAAAATTTGTTACAATATTAAACCTCATTTAAGTTTCTTTTTAAAAAAATAAATATATATACAGAAAGGTTTCCTAAAAGCAAAACTATCACATAATTATTATCTAAAAACGAATATAACAAGCATCCCCTCAGATGTTAAACTAATAGAAATTAGCAAAAGTCAAAATAAATAAATATAAGGAAACAAAGAAAGTTACAAAATAACAGAAAAAGGTAAATTCTAAAATAAAGCAGAGATGGTATTATAATCCATGTTTTACTTATAAATGTCTATCTAAGAAATAACAGAATAATTTCAGAATGACATGTACATTAATTCCCAATTATTGACATCTAAATATCATACCTATTAAGTTAGCAGACTAAAAGAATACATCAAAGAGAAAAAATAAACAACAAACTTCTAAGATTTCAAAAGCAACTTTGAAAATACATTAACTTCATGAATTTTTAACTACTTCAGTTTCGGTGACATCACTGTGTAAAGTAGTTTATGTTTAGACACTTCTTGATACTAGCTAACTAGCTAAATGAATAATAAATATAGCCTTATTGATAAACAATTTATTCAACCATCTTTATCTTTTTAAAGGAGTCATTTTCCTTCTTCTCAAGAAGTCATCACTACGGTTCTGTATTTTAAAAATTGTGAACAGTCAAATTCAAACCCCAACTCAGAACACAAATCACACAGTCAGAAAAGATCAATCAGGCAGGATTTTATTTCAAGAGACAAGAAAAAAATAACAACAAAAAAATAAATAAAAAACAAACAAAAATCACACACTTGCAGCAGAAGTGGGAAATAATCTAAACATGTTATTCATTTAAAAATGTAGTTCAGGTAAACAAGTAGTTCATGAAAACATAAAGTTCAGGTAAACATGTAGTGCATGAGAATTTAAGTTCATGTCAACATTGGTTCATTTTAACATTAAACAAGCAGTTCATGCAAAGATACAGTTCAAGTGAATTTGTAGTTCATGTTTATATGGGTTCATTTAAACATTTAGTTCATTCAAACAAGCAGTTCATGTGAAGATATAGTTTGTGTGAACATGTAGTTCATGTCAAAATGCAGTTCACATGAAAACATAGTTAACATGAACATGTAGTTCACACCAACATTGGTTCATATAAACCAGTAGTTTGTTTAAACATGCAGTTCATCTAAATATTTAGTTCATGTCAACATCAGTTCTTTTGAAAATGTAGTTCCTTTGAACATATAGTTTATGTAAATATTTGATGTGGAAAACAAAGCAGATGCAAAATAACCATTCATAATTATGATAATATCTGTTGATGTTTTACTGACATGTACATCTTTTGATGGAATTTGTCTTCATTAAAGTTGTAATTCAACAATGTTTTAGACATGAAATCTAAATAATCGAAGAGTTTCTTTAAAATGGAAATCAACTATAACAGTTGAAAGTTTTAATTTCATTTAAAATTTATGATATATATCTGTTCCATAAATTTAGTTGTTTTTTTTAAATATTTTTTAACACTAGCACTATCTTTCTTAAAACATGAAATTTTACATAATAGCCCTAATATAACACACTTGCAATTCAAGACCAAACAAAGTGAGATTATCTCATAACAAAACTGTGTGATTTAATTGTAACAAATGGGTGGGGTAACTGGTTGTTTACAAACCTCGTCAAACTTTGATCTTGGTTGCTATAGAAACATATTGAAAACAAAGAGGAAATAAATCATAAAATGTTAGAAGTACTTAATATATTAGTCATACAAGATATAAGAATTGTTCTGGTTCTTGGAAATGCTTAATTATGATATGCCTATTTATAAAATATACCCTGAATTCTGAACTAAGTCATGTAATCCTGAACCCTGAATTAAATCTGATTTATCATTAACTCATCCTAAAATTTAGTAAAAATAATCATTATAATTAAGTCCTTATTCTGTATCTAAATTATATTTCTCAAGAACCATATTCTAATATCTTTTTTCTTAAATAACATCAAATGACTAGACATTCAACACAGATTTTAATAAATTAAATACCCTGCCACTTAATTGATATGGCAAAATACAGACATACCAGGAATTGCATTTAAAAAATTGTTTTAATGGTCAATTTTCATATAATACACATCTATACACTGTATCAAATTTCTGTAAAGCAGATCTACATATAATGTAAATTACAGCATGAATAGAAAGTGTTATGTATTAACGGCACAAATTTATATTTCAACACTTATCCTGCTTCAGTTTTTACAATGAACTTGTCAAGCTAACATTTTGGCTACTATCATTAGAAGCTATTAATTCTGGGGATATCAAGATGAAAATTTGATCAGATAATTCAGCATAAATTTATATCATAGAAAACTCTCTAACTTGTAAGTGACAGCTTCGTATTCAAAACAAGACAAGTTCATCTCAAATATTGAGCAGGATAAATGTTTAAGTAGGAAAAATATTGCAATTTACCTAGTAAGCTTTACAACACATATTAAAATGGATGATTAGAAAGTAACATTTAAAGCAAAGAAAGACTGCACCTTATTCCAATATTAGGGAAACATTTAGGCCTCATTAAAACATTTACTATCTAAATTAACCATACCACATATATACTATAAATAATAATACTGTCAATAAATACCTTAAAATTTCATTGGCTGACATACCATATATATACATGTATTTAAACCTGTAAATTTACTTGCATACATATTTAGTAACTTTTCAGTAAATTACTGAATTCAAAATTTATAGGTCACCTTTTGGTAGATAATAACATTTAAGGACATGAATGGTGACATGTCGGGGGTCCATACTCTCAGTGCCTGAAAGGGCGGATGGACCCTCATTAAGCCTAGAATAAATATATATAATGTATATACAGTTAGGGAGAGTACCTCAATCTCACCAGTTCGTATATAAACAGTCTGCTTTTAAACACTGAGAACACAATGGCAGATATCTGTTGACAAATCTATAATTATTCATTCATACATGTATATCATTAATATTGTTAAGTTTTTTTTACCAGTTATCTTGAACAATACTTATTCTTTCACCTATGTGAATATATTTCATATGAGGGCAGTATAATTTCTTGGTATTATATCATGTAGACTGCCAAATGATGAGAGAGAAAACTCATCTGGAACATTGATAGAAATATCAAGAAACGCCTAAAAGCATGAAACTTGGTAAATCTACTCTGTATATACTGATTTATACATGTATATCAAACATATCAGCCAATCAAAATTCAAGAAATTTATTTGCAGTAACATAAAGGTTAATATTTGAAGCTCTGATTGAATATTGGTATAACCCTGGTAAGCTCATGTAAGTTTCTTTTGCAATTTTTTTGTCAGGTATGTAAACTTTTTTTTCAATAACATGTCAGCGAGTTTATAATGAGCAGCATTATAAATGATATATCAGATCAGGTCAGACTATCAGGAATGGCATTTCTTCATGCCTCATGCCAAGTTATAGTTAAGTTATGGCGTAACATATTAACTTTAAAGGAACTCCAGGCATTGAAATGCCTAAAAACATAAAATTTAAACGAAATTTAAAATCATATATGCATAGCCAAAATCAAGTTTAAAGCATTTTAGCACTTTCTTTTTTTTAAGTCATTTTTCACAATTAAAATATTTTTTTCTTGGCAAATAATCTGAAATTTTGCACACAAGTTATTGATTCAAACCTTCATCAACAATTATTATTACATAAATCAAGACAAAATATGTCCAGTCCAATTATGACAAAAATCGTGATCGAATCTCTTTAAGCTTTATTGCAGGTTATCTGAACAACTGACAGCTATTTATAGACCTAACCAATACTGTTGTCATATATGATAGTTGTTACCCCAGTAACCCTTCAATCCACAATGCCTGGGTTAAGTGGCTGATACCTTTAACCTCTTACATCTTAACAACTTTTGTCAACACCAGAATATTTAATTCTATAAAAAGTAAATATAGGAACAGTGTAAAATATTAGGTGAAATAATTTCAAATCTGACAATCTTGAGTTTACCAGGGTTATATAAATGACGGCTAGTGTATATGATAAAGATACCTACATCTGTATCAAAGCGTGTTTTCTGTGTTTTATCTCTCTGTAACCTTCGCTCTCTCCTACTCTCCTTGGCTTCTTCCTTCACTTCTGTCATTGCTTCTTCCTACATATAACCTCATCATGTTAAATAAAGTATTTATAAAGACAAGTAACAAGTGAAAGTTGCACCAATCAGACAGCTTGGAGGACTTTTTTCAATGCTACGAAGTTAATAAAAAATCCAAATAATTCAGAAATTTATAATATTAATACAGGAAATAAGTAAGTTAATATCTAGAATATAGTCAAGATTCTTGGTCAGAAATCTACAATGACATGCCTGAGTTTAAAAATAATGCCTTTTAGCAGTTTTAGAGGAGGAATTTGCATGCAAAACCTACAAAAGTTTTTTTTTCAAGGTTCAAAAATTGGTATAACTCGGTCACAATCATGCTAGTAGAGTTATGTAATTTGGATATTAAGTATCAAGAATTATCTCAAAATATGCATGAAGTTTCAAGTGAACCAGTGTTTAATGAATATGAAGTTTCACACAAAACACAAGTACGTTTTGTACCAATTTAAGAAGAAAGGCTCTACTATTCCCCTCAAAAATTAAAAATTAATGTTAAAATAAAAATTGACATTATCATAAGATTTCTTTTTCATTTTGACAATTCTATAATTAATTTGCTATAACTTAAAGTTAAAAGACTCAGTCAAACCTTTGCTTTAGCTAATCTTTCTTTCATTTTTGCTCTCATTGAGGCCATTCTGGGGGTTTTCCTGTCAGTTTCTGCTTCAGTATCAGCAGGTGAAGGAGGTCGTGGTGATGGTGCTTTCTCTTCCTCATCTTTTGGAACCTCAGTAGGCGGGGCCTCTTCAGTCTCAGGGGGAGGCTCAATTGGGGCTGGTGGATAGAAATATTATCAGACTGAGGATAAGTTGTTTAATATGATATTCATTCAGCAAATTTTGTGTTCACAAAGTATTTATCATTTTTTCTGTACCAGTTATTAGAGACCTGATCACTACACCCTCCATCCTCACATAAACCGCTGGTGAATAGTAAATCAGCAAATGCCCAGAAAAATACCCTTGCTTCTAGGATAAATCAGATGATTAAATGTTTGCCATAATTATATCACCCATTGTGAGTTAGGCTTTAATCAAATGGTAAAAGTTTGGCCATATATCGTCCATTATGAGTAAGTCTTTCACTCCACTCCATTCAGCTAAGGTGCCTGACCAAGCTTTTTACCCCTGCTATTCCATACACACCACAAGGGAAAGGAAGGTTGCCTAAACTTTGCAAATAACAAGAGAATGACAAAAAAAAATCTATATATATAGAGCATCAATCAAATCAGGCTATAAAGAAGCTATGTTAATTTATTCTTATACAAGAGTCTTTCTGGTAACTGATATGGACACAGGGCTTCTGTTAGTGTAAGTTTTGGAGTAATTTACTCCTTGATTTTTGCTTGTGACTTTCAAATGAATGCTTTTCCTACTTTACCTACATGTATATAACGCGACTTCCAAAATCCAACATTTTGCAGTATCTGACTTCCAAATATTGGAACTTAATGGAAGCCCTGTGTGGTAAACCTTAACATACAAAATATTCACTATCATATGAAAAAGCAAAATTTGTCTTCACTTCAAATATTTTTAATCAACCTACTTTCTTCCACTTGTTCACTTTTTCTCCTCAATTTCTTTATTCTGCTTTCACTCTCTGCCTCAGATTTAGGTGATGCTGGTTCCCCTGACACTCCTGCCTCACCCTCTTCCTCATCAGGCATGGGCAGGGTACCATCATCAGCAACCTCTGAGACAGCTGTGTCTTCTAGCTCCTGACGGACAGATTCATCAACTTTGGCTTTACTCTTCTTCTTGGCTTCTTTCAACTCACGGGCAAGATCATCTTTAGGTGAGATAACTTCTTCAGCTAACTGTAACATAAAAATTCAATTTTACAACCTTGTTTATCAATACATTTGACTGAAGCAAAATGATTAAAGCAAATATGACAGAGGGCAAGTTTTTAGAGGACTAAGTTTGGAGATGGTTAACTTATTTCTTCGGTGGAAGATGTTAAAAGGGGTTTACCTTATATTTAATAACACAAGGACAGATATAGTATTAGACATATAATAATGTTGAAAGTATTTCTGAGTAAGTAAAAAATAGAAAAGAAAATGTTTAAGAAAATTGTTGAATAGTTGTTACTAAATAACATACAAATGTAGCAGCTATCAGTCCTAAAACAGTAACAATTTCATTATAAACAAACCTAAGTCTAATCCATTATTGCTATCAGCAGTCAAGTTACAAAATAAAAGAGATAAAAGCATAAGCCATGATAAGTATTAATTAACTGTTCCTACCTCCTTTTTCTTCTTCCTTCTCTTAGTCTTCAATGTTTTAACAAGAGCATCAGCCTCGGCTGCTTCCATCTATAATGTATATAACATTTCACAGTATTTAAAAACAAGCAACACATAGACATGATGAAATAGTGCTATACTTAAGTTCCTAAACTTTAAAGTATATAAATGAAAAATCATTGTAAAATGTGACTTGGTTGGTTTGAACAGGAACAGGCAGTTACCTAACATGTGTTCCTGGATTCTATACCAGTTCTAACCTGTTTCTCCACAAATTCTGCAAACATCTCTACATTAGTAATTTGAAACATTAATGGGGGGATGAATGACATCTTGTTGTCAAACAAATTGTCACAAAAGTGAGCAGTGCCTAGAATGTGACTAAAACTTGATAGTTCAAGGTCAAATGACTGAATGCTTATTACATAACCTTCTGCTCTAAGCTTTCAAGCCCTAGAAAACATGGAGATTATTCTAAGTCACTGTTGAGTGCAAAAAAAAGTTTAGATTTCAAAATATTTCATTGGTTGTAAAAAATATGAAATGCAGTGTGAATTCTATAAAACATTCAAGTTTCTACATTAAAATCTATTCATTTAAAATGTCCTATCTAATAAAAATGATACCTCTGGTGAAGAGTCTGTACCACTCGGCTGTGTATAATCCATAATATCTTCTTCCTACACAAAGATTAAAACATTACTTTATTTATTTAGGATATAACAATTTACAGCCCAATTCAAGCATCATCAAAAACTTTTCCGCAAGGGAGATATATAATGTTTATATCAATAACAGACTCTTTAATACATTAACCTCCCTTTTCCACTTTACAAAAAGCACAAACAAGAACAAAATTAGAATACCCTATGGATATTTTATACAGTAAATATTTACTTTTTTGCAAGTTTGTTAAGTACTGCTAAGAAGAAGATTTAATTGTCATTATTACAATCAAGCAGGTAGTTAATTGTTCTAACTTAAGAGAATTTAATAAATATTTAATGTAATAAACTATGTCACCATTGTAGGATTGGATATGCCATCTTCTTCTTCACCATCTTCTAATAATTTGTCCTTCTTTTTCTTTCGAATTCTATCTCGAATTCCCCTAAAGAATGAATATAATATTAGAATGTAAATTTGAAATACTGTTTGTCTTTATCCATACAACTTATGTCTATATTTTACGCTGTTTTTTATTTTTATAAATTAAATAGCATAATTTATAAATTTTAATTTCTTTGTTATGTTTGTTTTAATGGCAGTCAGTGGGCAGAAAAAAATATCATTGCTCGGAACAGACTCTGGCAATATAACTATATAGGCATATCCTTAAATTTAGTGAATTAAAATATTTAACTCATTAAATTACAGTTGAATTCCCCCATAATTTCCTACCACTGTGCACTTCTAATGCACTGGACAAATTGACCAGACAGGCCAGGGTGACACTCAATTATTCACTTAGTGCTGAGTTTCTCCCAAGAAGTATTTGACAACCTAGACAGTGGACAACAGATGGACTTGATTGTGATGGATTTTTCAAAGGCCTTCGACAAAGTCGACCATCACAAATTAATCCATAAGCTTAACAGAATGGGTGTTAACGAACAGGTATCCACCTGGGTCAGGTCATTTCTTCGCCACCGTAGCCAAAGGGTTGCGGTGGAAGGTCAAATCTCCGACCAGCTACCAGTGTTATCCGGTGTCCCTCAGGGTTCAGTCCTAGGACCCTGTCTGTTCCTGGCATATATCAATGATTTGCCAGAAACTGTCAAATGCAAAACCAGGTTATTTGCGGATGACACTAAAGTCTATTTGACAATTAAAGGACAGACTGACGCTGACAGACTACAGGACTACCTACATAAACTTGAAGTTTGGGAACGGGACTGGGCTATGGAGTTCAACCCAGACAAGTGTGAGGTGCTAAGGATCACCCGTAAAAAGAACCCCACCATCTTTCCATACACCCTTCATAATAAAACTCTCAAATCAGCAGAATCTGCAAAGTACCTTGGAGTAACTATCTCTAAAGACCTTAACTGGACACAGCATATTAATAACATCACCTCCAAGGCCAAAAATTCTCTAAGATTCATCCAGAGAAACGTCAAAACCCAAAACAGGCAACTCAAAACATCAGCCTATGTTACTTATGTCCGACCGCAATTAGAATACTGTTCCACCATATGGCACCCCTGGCAGAAACATTTTAGTCATTGAAAGTGTCCAACGAGCTGCGGCTACATATGTCTGTAATAATTATAATTTCGACAGTAGTGTAACCCAAATGCTAAATGAACTTGGGTGGCCTTCCCTAGAAAGCCGCAGACTCCAGTCCTCTCTTGTAGTGTTCTATAAAATCCAATACAAACTTGTATATGTTGACCATAACCATCTGACCCCAACTAGAAATCTGAACTTCCTGATCCCCCAGTCCCGTACCCAATATCATCTAAATTCCTACTTCCCTAGAACTCTCAGGTATTGGAATAGCCTTCCATATCAGGTCAAATCCAGTTCCAGCCTAGATGCCTTCAAGGATAGGTTGGCGACAGTCACCTTCTAGTCCCCACCCCCAGTATGTTTTTAATCTTGCACTCTTTCTTTTATCCTGCACCTTTTTTTATCTGTGATCTTTATCTTTTAGTATGCACCTAATACTTTTAACACAGTTTTCCTGACAAGCGCCTCCCAGTCATAGTCAGAATTGATTGTTCGGGAGTAACATGTAGATGTAGATAACAGACCCCTAATATGCCGCTGACTCTAACCTCATAGGCTTGGATATATACATGTACATTGTACTTAAAACCTTTCAACTTTTCAGTGGTTGTCATTGAGTTTCAACAACAAAATCAACAATTTGTCATCTTACATCCCACTTTTTGTGAAGCAGATAGATTTACCATAACTATTTTTTTCATGAACTGGGTCAAAGATGCATAATTCAGTTCAACAAACAAAATGTCACGGTTTAAAACGGTTCATTATGTGTGACAAAAACATATCAAAATATTTCAAATACATGTATGTTGCTAATAAATATATGCATCCAGAGTTTCGGTGTAAAACAGTTTTATATTGGCTGTAAACAGGTACAATGCAATCGGGAACTTGACCATTTGTTTTGGTGTAACAAGATTGTCAATTGACAATTTATGACATTGATCTGAAATTATCTATAAAAATGGACGTTGAACTTGGTATGCTTCATCTTCCTAACAACTGCACATTGATTCTCCACTAAACATTCAAATTAGGCTGTAAGTAATAGTGAATAATTGACATTTGCGAATAGTTACCCAGACACCTTTTTTAGTTGGTACAACTCATGTATAACATTGAACACATACTGGTTCTTTTAACATTTCACCAAAAAACTTGTAATATTTCCTGAAATTAAGTTACCAAGAATTCGAGATTTGTACAAAAACAGATACGTTACCATTTTTCCAATTGCTTTCAGAGACTAGATAGAAATAATTAGCATGAATATACATGATTTAGAAATTTATTATCATTCTTTCAGCATTATAGCACCAGTATATATTACAAAATATTATGCATTAATATACATTTATTAAAAATCTACGTCTAAGAATAGCTTGTGAACTTAAGCTGATGAAAATGTTACTTATTAATCAGACTTGTTTATTCCAAATACATGAGTTACTTATAAAAGCATTTTAGGTCAATAAATATACTGATGTTCCATACTTATCTATTGACACAATGTAGCTCGAATTTACTTAACAGTATAAATGTATTCCGCTAAGTGGAAACAAATATTAAATCATAGTAACGTATCTGTTTCACAGTTCTTCTATGAACAAAATAATGAAAAACCCTAAACACATAGATAGATATCCATAAAGGGTTTTATACAACTGACCAATAAATAATATGTCTGAACCAGTACTTTTAATATTAAACAGAACATACAATATCATTAAAAGTTTTTTTTAGGTTTTATTGTTTTATGTGTAGCTTCAAATAGTCAAATAAATTGTGACTTTAAGAAACAGATTGAACTTAACAAGAACATTTGAATAAAGACACTCATCTATTAGAATATTTATTGAAATTATCAGGCTTTCAAGTGGCCAATAATAAAAAAGTAGGGATAAAAGTAGGAAATTTTTTGTAAAAAAGTAGGGAAAAGTAGGGATCTTCAGAGCCTAAAAGTAGGGAAAGTAGGACTCTACTCACCATTTTTCCAAAGTTGATGCAAAAACAAATACAGACCCTTATCAACTAAAATCCATGGCATTTTCTTCATTTAGGAAACCAGTCACCAGTGTCTCAATAGGGATTCCACAACAGGATGACTCTGGACATGAACCTGGAATTGGTATTTTTTATATTAATCAAATTCCAAATAATAAAAGAAAACTATAAACAATGAACATGTCAGAACACAGACTATTAGCAACATTAAACATTAAGTAAGCATGTTTTTGTACACAGACTAGAAACAGGAAATGTGGTAAAACCTTGTTTAAGATAGCATGGTTGTTACAAAATACAAACAAGAACAAGAGCTGTCGGTAGGACAGCACGCTCGACTATTCTAAGTGCTTGATAGTAAAAGAGCCTTGATTATGTTAAATTTTCTAAGTTCACAAAAGGGCTAATTTTTTTTTTATAAATTCATGTTATAGGCCTTAGAGAGAGTCTAATTATACAGTATTGGCTTGACTATTCGGAAGGTAATGTCACGAGGGTGTTTTATTGAGTATAATAATACTAATTACCTATGAATACATAAATTTGACAGAAAAGGTACAAAGGCTTGTTATTAAGATGTTTTATCAAGTAAATAACTGCTTTATTATTATGAATGCATAAAATTGTCCCAAAAAAGGCACAAACCCTTCAGTAGTTATTGAGATAACAGCTGACAAGCAAAACTTTACCATGAATTTCTAAGTTGAAAAAGGGGAGAAAAATCAGCCTCAATGCAAGATAGAATTATGGATCTTTGTCAGTGACCTACAATTATGACCCTTAATGTGAAGTTTTAATAAATATCTTTAATAGTTATTGAGATATGTAAAACTTGCATGTAAACATTAACCAAGAGACTAAGTAGAAAAGGGGATATGAATCAGCCTTAATGAAAGATAGAGTTATGGAACTTGGTCAGTGACATACAATTATGACCCTCCAATTATGACCCTAAGTGCATGTGTAAAGTTTCAAGTAGATATATTTGAAGACCTTTAACCTTTAACCAAAATTTCTAAGTTTCAAAGGGGCAAATAATTCTGCAAATATTGCAGCCAGAGTTATGCAATTTTGCAAACTGATGTACATTGTTACTATAAAAAAGTATTTTAAATTTCAATTGAATATCTCAAGCAATAATTGAGATATTTGACTTTACAAAAAGCTTTAACCAAAATTTCTAAGTTAAAAAGGGGCATAATTCTGTCAATATTGTAGGCAGAGTTATTCAACTTGTCAATATGATGTAGCTTGTTACTATAAATAAGTATTGTAAGTTTCAATTGAATATCTCAAGTAATAATTGAGATATTTGACTTTACAAAAAACTTTAACCAAAATTTCTAAGTCAAAAAGGGGCATAATTCTGTCAATATTGTAGGCAGAGTTATCCAACTTGTCAATCTGATGTAGCTTGTTACTATAAATAAGTATTGTAAGTTTCAATTGAATATCTCAAGTAATAATTGAGATATTTGACTTTACAAAAAACTTTAACCAACGCAGACGCCGACGCGGACGCTGACGCCGACGTGACTACAATAGCTCTCATATTCTTCGAATAGTCGAGCTAAAAATGTTATGTGCAAAAACATAGTTTTAGATAGCATAATATATGAAACACAGACTAGAACAAGGATAGGTGTTAAAACATGATTTTTTAACTAGCATTATAACACACTAGAAAATGAAAAGGAGTAAATGTAAAAAAAAGCAAAAATTTACTAGCATCCTAGTTGTGCATGGAGTTTACCTAGGCATGCAAAATAGATACTTGTAACAATCAAAAGTAAATTTTAAGATATATACACAAGCACTTAGTATGCAAAGTTAGTACATGCAAAACTGACAAATCAAAGCAAGGGTTTACAGTTCATAATGTATTAATTAGCCACTGTATTCAGAGTTAGAGTCTTTTTTACACCAGAAATGGAGTTCATGTCCATTTTCATCTTTTTGCATTAACCATGCATTGTTAAATTTTGTGTGTTCATGTGGCATTGTGAAGTTTTTATACATTAATGGGCCTGAAATAATAAATAGTGAGTAAAATGGAATTTAAAAAGAAACTTAATGACACTTGCGAGAAATGTAAGTAGGTCTCAGATAATTCCAAGGTAGAGATGAGTATTTATGCCATATTATATATTTAAAGATAGAGAGCAAAAAACCTGTTAAGTAAACTTTGGATGCAACAACAATCTCTCACAACTTTAATGATTACATTACTAATAATTGGCATACTGAAAGCCTAAACACACAGTTAGTTATTCTTAAATTATCTGTTATAAAAATTCTTAGTCCCCACCATATTAAAGCTATCAAATTCTATCTAATGAAAGCATATGTATTTTTCAGAAACACTTCCTACATTTTTCCAGTATCTTTCATTCAATGAAAATTCAGGACAAAATGATCACAGTGAGCAACTTGCCTATATGCCAAACATTGTCTAAAATCTATATATGCTCAAAGATGTTGGCAAGTATTGTCCCTCAGCATAAGTATCATTGGGAAACAATTGAGAAGCTGGTCTGTGTACAAAACATATTATAATTTTGAAATGAAAAAAAAAAATAATTGACCATTAAGTAATATTTCTATAGAAGCAAACTCACCTAAAGATGCTGATTCTTCCATGTCAGCTACAACCAACCTCATCATGGAACCCCTCTTGCACCACTGATGACCTACTTCCATCAACTTTTTTCTACAATTAAACTAGCATCTGATTCTTATTAAATTTGAGATAAAGATTATATCAAAATCAATCTACTACTTATACTGGATTTTTTTTATCAATTATCGAGCTTTTTTTTAAAAAAAGTAGGGATAGTAGGGCATTTCAAGAAAAAAGTAGGGAAAAGTAGGGGTCAAACAAAAAAAGTAGGGAAAAGTAGGAAAAGAAGGAAAAGTAGGGCCCGCTTGAAAGCCTGAATTATGTGAGTGTTTCACAGACTAGTGTGAATTGACATTCTGTTGTCATTTTTGGTTCATCTGCTGTTCAATTGTCTTTATTTTTTTATATACTTTTTCTTTATATACTGGTACAATCTCGATCCTTGATTTTGTCATACTTCGTGATATGAGTAAGCCTACATGTATATGCTTATCTACATTTAACAAAATTATATCAGAAACAATGGTACCGCTTAAAGAAAACCAACTTAGTAATAATCAATCCATATATATGTGCACCTCCAAGATTTTGAGCTATATCCAATTAGTCCATCCCTACCATAGACAGAAAATCTTGATACGACCCTGACTAAAATTTAGAAACTAACGGGCATTCATTTAAAAATACTTTAATATATTTTTCCCCATTAAGTTACAGTGCTGTTATATATTGCCTAACCATATATTACTTATTTAAACCAAAGTTTTGTTGAAGATTTAGTTATATATATTAAACAGTACTCAAATCTCTTTCTAAACAGATACGTTACTATGATAAACAGATACGTTACCAGAAGTTATACAGTCCTCTACATTTTATTTTTAATACAAATTTTGCAAACCAAAAAGATATCAACATATATTTATTCCAGGAAATAAAACAGTAAATCTTTATATGTTTCTTTCCTGTTTTTCAACATTTTATTTTCTAGAAAACTCAACTAATCCTTGAATTTCAAATTCCTGATTCACATTTTTAGTTTTCCAATAAAATCGAGATCAAAGCATCATTTATTGGCTACACGTACGTTATGCTGTGATTTTTTACATGAAACCATTTCAAAATTGAGCAAAATCGGCAATTAAGATTCAAACAATAAATATTGGTAACGTATCTGTTGGTAACGTATCTGTTGGTCAAAAAACTAAAATATATCAGATATACACACATGTTTGCCAAATATATTGAAATATTAAGTTTTGTAAAGTATATATTTGAATAATGCATAAATGCGATCCTACTTTTAAGTACTGGTAATAGTAAATGTTTCTCAGTGGGATATCATGGTAACGTATCTGTTTCACTTTAAAGTATAATCCAAATTGCCTCATCATTGCAAAGTCATTGTGGTTCTAGCATGCATATTGTCGTCAAAATTATTTTTGAATAATGAAATATGATAAAACTTGAGTTCAATAGCAAACTATTAATATGTTACAAGTTCATATTACTCTTACTCAGGTTTACCTGAAGTGTGGTAACGTATCTGTTCAATATATGAGGGACATGCATTTCAGCTGCTAACTTTTTTTCAAATTCACTGTAGAAAACAATAAAAATCGCTCACTTAGACATTTAAATTAAAACTTAATACTAAAGCAGTTTTTCTTCAACACATGTTTCAGGTGAAAATATGTAAAACCAACAGTAATATGGGACCCAAGCCTGGGGACATTGCATAAAGGGTTATACAGCACCTTTGCATGATAATATTTTCGTATAAATCCAACAGACTATGTCATTAATTTGAATGCTTTACATACATGACTATGTAATGAAGCAATGGAATGCCCAAAAAGTATTTTTCAACTGCAGTGCAACAAAATATACCCAAGGGACAGAATATTTTCTAATTTGCACGTTTAGTGGAGAATCAATGTGCAAATAATTTTAACAAGATAGTATATGAAACTTACGACATCTTTCCTTTTTTTTAAAGTAATCTGATCGTTATTCTTTAAACTCAATGAAATTGGTATGGCGTTCTTGACAACTGCGACCTGAGGACCGATTTACAACTGCTGCTTGTCCATTTCAGAAGTTGAAGTTGGAAAACATATTAAATCGTTTGCAATTTCTTTAGTTTTGGTAGAAATTATCAGAATTTCTCTAATGTTTACAGAAAAATTCATGTAAAAACATGACAGATCAAAAGTATTGATCGATGTCACAGAAACGCTTGACTTTTATCGTAATTTGAGATTTTTGAAAAATATGCCGTTTGGGTGACAGAGACTCATTTAATAATGAACACCCCTAAATTTATTGAAGTTGAACACCTCTAAATATTCTGTTTCCCGAACCCGACAAACAACACCTTTAATGGGACTCCACTGAGGTTTTTTTGACATGATGGGACTGAAAATATTTTTTCCAGATAAATGTACCATTTGATGATGGTTTAAATGCAAATTTTCAGATTATTCGCACGCTTCGATTTTCCAGAATAATTGTTCAAACTGTAAAAACATGACCCAAAATGAATAGCGTTTAAACGCTTGTCTCTCAAATCGGGCTAAGAAAAGCATAAAAATACGAATTACAATTTATTTCAAAGTATATTTCTTAACTATCTTTGCATATATTTCTGTTTAAAGTGCCCCAGCTCATTTATGTAAGAAATTCAAATTTTATGTTTTTAGGCTGTTAAACCTCAGTGGAGTCCCTTTAATAAAAGAAAAGAAAACACCCCGAACCGTATTTTAAAGACACATTTATGTATGGATAAGCATGGGCAAACATAAACATTCCTCTAATCTTAGAGGATATTTTCCAAAAATCTATTCATGAATGCTCTGATGGAAATCTGAAATTGTACATTGTAGTTCCAATGAAAAAGGTTACCTGATCATCTCAGTCTCGTACATCTAAGATAAATGACTATTATTTTTGTATAATCAAAATTTAATGTAAAAAATAATAAAATATGCATGTTAAATATTATTGTCATCATTGTCTTTGAAGTGGAATTTTCTAATCTCATCGTTTAAAACCAATATCAGTTTTAACTATTCTGGAATGACCTCATATCAATATTTATCCACATTTCTTGCAATTCCGCATTAAAATCATCTCTTAGATTCTGAACTGGGAAATGTTAATTTTTTTATTATAGATTTAACAAATTTACCTTGTCAGTTTTAACACATTTAGAAGATAATATATTTGAAAGAAAATATTTAAATACATGATTATAAAACTTTTGCAACTTCCTTTTCACTTTAATGCAGATCTGTTTTTTTTTTTCTTTTAATAAAATAGCATACATGAGCATAAAACCGTTACAGAAGATTGAAGTGTCAAAAGTCATGCTGTGTATTGGTGTTTTAATATAGTACCCTGCTGATAAGAGAGCCCCTCAGGGTAAATAACAAAAGGCAGATGATAAATATAAGTAGGCAATGTAAATTCTGTATTCTCTGGATGTTGGTGTAAATAAATTTCATTACAAGTAGTACAAAAAAGAAAAAAGAAATATTTTTGCATTTTATAATAATTATAATAACAGTTTATACTAATTGGTATAACTAATTTGTATAATTTGCACCCCCACCCTCCCAAAAAATTAGCATTTCAATGTTTCATTACCAGATTATAATGAAATAGAATTATATTAAATATCAATTCATTTTGTTTATTTAATATGCACTTATCAACTTTAAAGTTATAATTATTTATATTTACTTATTCTAACAATTAAGTTTTGAAATCAGTAAAATTAATGACTTTGAAAAATTATTGTTCTAATATTTTACGCCATATTTTACAAAATCCAATATTCACAACTTCAAATTTATTATGAAAAACTATTATACAGATATCTATATTTATCTATCTTTTTGTAAAAGTCAAATTGCTATTCATTGAAAAAAAAAAGGTAACTGCTTAATACATATAATAGGTCTGGCGGTCTACAAAGTGCACTTATGAAGTGCACTAGTAGTGCACTTTGAAGTGCACTAGTAGTGCACATCTAGTGCACTCCTAGTGCACTTTGTGTAACCTTTAGTGTGAACTCAACTGTACCTCAATAGGGATATTTTATCCAGGGTCCGATCTATTCATAATATATGGATCAGTTAAGCTCAATAGGAGAATTAATTAATTTATTGATTTGTAATCTTGTTTTGATTCTCGGTCAAGACGAACACTCTCCGCACCCCTCTCCTCAGACATTAGGTCTTATCGTCATTTGTCTCTCACCGCGGATTCAGAAATCATGTGGAATATACATGTAAGTAGATACTGTTATAGTTCCACGAATATTTGAAGAGCTGAACAAAGAATAACAACAAGTATATACAAGGCAACATTAAAGAAGTAATGCCATCTAAACATATGTACAAATTATACATAGCTTCAGTCGGGTTTCCTATGTAAAATTATGTTCGAATCTCGAAACTAGTGTGTAAAACTCCTGTGGTGGAAACAAATTACGAAATATTTTTCGAAGAAAACAAACATAAGCTCTATATTTCACTAAGGAATGCTTATAATGATTTTATATTTTTTAGAATACTCGACTGAACGACGATTCCTAGCATTTTTTTAAATTTTTGATTATCATTATTATTTTATTTTTTTATTTTTGAAATGCGAATACTTGTTGATTTTCTATTGGTTAATCAGATTTTATTGCTCGAATCTTAAAACTCAATCTATGAATAGAAATATTTACATATTTTCAGCAGGAAATGTTGAGTTGGGATCAGCAGAAGTATTTACTAAACAAATTTTAGCATCCATAATTCAAGTAAAACATTTTTAATTCAGCTATCCATTATGTTTCACTATAAAAGTAGTTAATGAAAAGTTGGTGTTTTTTCATTGAAACATTTTTTTTGTTTTGCTTTAATCTTCAGTTTCCCGTGGTAAAGGTAATAGAAAGAGCACCGAAACACGAGGCTATCTGATTTGTACGAGGGGGCGTAGCCCCCGAGTATAAATCAGATTGCCGAGTGTTTTGGTGTTCTTTCTCTTTTGTATCATAGTCAAACATGACAGCACGTTCCCTGTTGTCATAATATGAAACCCCAGAAAAAATTAACCAATGAACGAGCATTTGAATATGATAGTTCTGCCCCTTTCCCTTTCTCTGCCGTCACAATATGTAAACCCCGGCAAAAATGAACCAATCCACGGGCATTATCTGGAGTGCGGGTAACTGATACCTGCACTCCAGTTACCGCACTGTGCATGTATATGTATACGATTTAACTCTGACACTTTTTCAACAGAAAGGTCCCCAAACTATGATACAAGGAACCTATAGTGGCGAATACAGACGTAATAATATGTAAGCGTCCAAGGTCTCCAAGTAGTTTATTAGTTTAAAACATGATTTTTTTTCCGGCGGCCAAAGCCAAGTTCTGCGTATGCTATCGTAAAGAAATATCATCTGAAAAGAGAATGAGTACGACTGGAATGTTCTACCGGATATATTAATTAACAAAGCACATTGTGAAAGGCTTGGAAGTACAGGACAAGTGGAGCAATACCAATTAAATTAAACACGCCATGTAAATGAAAACATATATGGCTTTTGTCGATGTTGGAAAACAGTTTTCAAACCTTATCCTTGAAGTGCTAAGATAATCTATTTTTATCAACCAACAACAACAACAACAACAACAAACAAATGGATTCTGCATATTACAATATTATTTCTTTAATTGATATCCACTGTTATAAAGCAAACATATTCATACTATTGTCATATATTCATTTTTATAAATCGTATATCTATTGTTATAAATCGATCGTTTTCATACAATTGTCATAATTATATCCATCGCTTTGAGATCATTGCCATCCCCTGTAAAGTCATTGCCGTGATATGTATCATTAATTTTATAATCCAAATAATATTTTGTTAATAATTCCTTTCTTTTACTTTCAGCAGACTTTTTTTCTGTAAGACTATAATAAAATATATTATACATGTTCAAAACTGATTCATGTGACGACTGTACGACCAGAATCTGATTCTGTCACGTTGAGATTTTGACAGCAATAAAGCCTTGCTTGTGTAGATGTTTTCTTCTTTAATCCCGATCAGCTTTTCTGTTCTGGACACATTTTTGGAAATATCTACAGAAACAACATTTTCTTTGCTTGGTTTATGTTGTTGAAGAGCATCGCCATTCACTTCGTCTTCGTCTGTTCTACACCAGCTGAGGTCGAGCTTAGGAATTGATACCCATCCTTCAACACGCATGTATTCACCGTCAACCACGAGTACGAATTTTTCGTACATATATCCATGTCCAGGTTTATCCAAAAGATCATCTGTTGCGTGTTTATACAACCACATAAAGCTACTGATGTTAAGCTTCCACTTTTGGGGTCCATTATCATAGAATTTCTCCGTTTTATCTTTTGGTATACAAAAATAAATGATGTCACCTGAATAGTTCAGAGTTTTGTTTGTGTCACCATTTTGTTGACCTCTTATTACGCGAGTAAACAAATTTCGAAGACATTCGGTCATCTTAAATGATATTCTATTGCTTGTAGTTATATCGTACCTTTTTTGTTTATGAGAACGTTTCTCTGCAGCTTCGCAACGACGTTAGTGACGTCAGTGACGAACCAACGTCAGTGACGCAATAACGTCGTTCGAATGAGAAGATGTAACTTTTCTTCTTACTTTTATTTCTTAACACATGTATATCATTTTATCTATGCATAATTGTTCAATATATTCTCTTCTCTGTTTTATGGCATTCTGATTAATTAATATTTTGAATTAAAGGGACTCCACTGAGTTTTTTTTACATGATGAGACTAGAAATAACTTTTCGAGATAAATATTTCATTTGTTGTAGGTCGAGACTAAAAACTTGTGTGCAAAATTTCAGATAATTCGCTCACGCCATTTTTCCTGAAAAAAAATATATAATTAAGAAAATGACCATGCCCCATCATTTATGCCTACAAGGTCCACCAATCAACTCTTCAATCTGTCAAAAGTGGAAAGTACCTTGGTGTCAACATCGCAAATAATCTTTCATGGAACATACACACAGAATCTACCATCAAGAAGGCCAACAACTCTCTATCATTCCTTAGAAGAAACATCACAAGCTGCCCACAAGACATCAAGGCCCAGGCCTACAAGACCCTTGTTAGACCAATCCTGGAGTATGCAGGCACAGTCTGGGATCCACACACAGCCACCAACATCAA